TGAAATCATAAGAATATAAACAAATTATTAAAAAGAAAAATGTATTTTTATAATACAAAATCGAATTTTCGAGATAGTCTTGCAAATCTGTTAATGACTTCGTCAATATTAATATTATCATTTCTGTGTATATTTATGAGAGCTGATCCTGTCAGTCGGTCTTCCCCAATATTATTTTTTAAACAAGTTTTAAGTCTCCGCAATATTGAAAATGATCGTTCTGCAGTAACAGTCGTTATAAGTAAAGTAGGTAATATTGTTAAAAGGCACTTTATATTTGGATACAAATCGCTAGAAATTTGACTTAAATTGTTTAATGGACATTTTGGACGTTCATCATGAGATACATATTGCCACTGTGTTTGTCAAATTTTATATCCAGCGTCAAACGTATACAAAATTTGCTAATAAAAGTTTATGAAACAGTGCATATTCTTTAAATTTGGTCAAATATGTATTATCTTAAGTTATGTACTTTGGAATTAGTAATTTTAAAGCGGATATTATACAACGATACTTAGAAAATCATTCGTCTAGTTGAACAATAAAATGACAAATGATGACAAAAAACTGTACGTTTATATTATTTTTCTAGTGATTTAGCTGGTTTATTATCTGGAGAAGTTTTCTACGCTTCATTCCGAATCCCAGAAATTTGGAAATTGAAGTCCCTGATTCATCGATTATTACGGTGGATTTGTAAAACTACACAGTTACTGTATACTGTATATATACAACCTATTATCTGATTTTAAGTTCAAGTAGATGTAATCATAGCGCCGACTCCATTTATTCATATCTAATAAGCAGTTTTATATACGTCTGAAAAGACATCAGGATGAAATTCACACTTTGCACTTAAAGGAGTTAAGCTCAGGTGGTTGTATACCGACCGCAGTTTTTCTGGTAGCTTGATTTATTGTCTGGACCTCAGGTGGCTTCTCCGTAAGCCAAAGGCATAGAATATTCACGTGTTTATTCAGTATCTAACGAGATATATATTGTAACGATTTATCGTTACCATACTTATACCACTTATAGCTTGCTCTTCAGAAATTCGAGGAACAATTTTCTTGTGAACTTCGAACAGGTCACCAAGGTAAGTTAATAGCTAAGGTTAAGAAGTTAAATAAGGAAAATAAACATAGGGATTTATTTAGGTTTATTTTTACAGTAGGTATAATAGGTTTAGCACACAGTCCGTTGGTATAATTCTCATACCATAATTTGTGTATGATAAATATCACACAATAAACAATAAAGAACTATTTTTACACACATAATTTTATAACATATTACGAATACGTAGCGAGTCAATTGAGGTTTATATTCGGCCAATTTTGAATTGTGGCAAATGCGGCCGTCGAGCATTCTTTCGATAGACGCTTGTGTAATACATTTTACGTACAAATAAGATATTATTACATATCATACAACATATTATATCTACTATAGAACCAACTTATAGAACCTAACATATATCCCTAAAATTCACCCTACCTTCTTCGATCCTCATTTTTCTTTAATTTGTATTCTATTACACTACCTATATATATTTTTTTTGAAATAATAAATCGAATCACTAAATAAATGAGTAATAAATAATAATGAATAATATAAAAATAAACTTTAGCAGCAAGGCGTAAGTGTGTGAGAGAAAAAAGAAAAGCAGTGAAAGAGAAATTACTCAAAAACACTGCCACATACACGCTAACAGGTACAAAAATTTAAATCATCCAATGTCTCGCATATCACTTGTTATGACTTTCGCTCGCTCGGTCAATTATACTTTTTAAAGTAGTTCATAGTGTGGGACTCTCGGAATGCACATCCAACTCATACACTTGACCAGTTTTGAAGAATTTACCGAAGTTAACATTTTTCCTCGATCTTTCTTAAAGACTTCTTTATTTAATAATCTGTTACACTACGAAATCTTATACATCTTGTTATGGTTACACAGTATGTCACATACTTTGTTTTTTTTTCTTGGTTGTACTCACTCTCTAAGTGTCACACCCACGTATACGATGTCAAAACTTCATACGCGTGTACTGTCAAAAAGATTATCTATATTGATAAATTTAGATTCTGAGCGAAGCGAGAAATACATTGGTTTTACAAAAATGTTTATTTTTATTTTCTGTGGACAACTAATCTACCAATAAATTTTCTCAGATTTACAATGATAGAAATTATTCTGAAAAGAAATCTGACTGGGATAGTACTTTAGGGATTTAATTTTTTGATTTTCCCAGGAGTTTTCATAATAAATGAGAAAAATCCGGAAAAAACTCGGGAAAACCGTAGGAAAAATATGTAAAATATTAAACAAATATCATTAAAGAAAATATATAAGACTTATGTAACCATAATATTGTATATAATATAATGTCAACAATACATAAGTCAAATTATAGTTAAATAATTAAATAGGAATTATATGTTTTCTTTAATAATATTTGTTTAATAACTGATTTTTCTGTTTTTCCTTCGTTTTTTTTTCAGTTTTTCAGATTTGTTGAGAAAACCCCTGAGAAAATCAAAAAACAATATCTTTAAAGTACCTCATCAGGCAAATTTCCTTTTAGAAAAATGGTTATTATTATAAATTGGAGTAAAATTACAAGTTAATAAGTTATTCACAGAAAAAAAATAATATAAAATAAAAATATTTGTAAAACCATAAGCTTCTTCGCTCCACTCAGAATCTAAAAAAACGATAGTGTAGCTTTATCAACAATATGACACATTATGGTAAAATAATTACATATTCAGTATATATTATCTTTAAATATATAAACATTCTTTAAACATTTTAATAATTATAAAATACATCAAAATATTATAAAATATCTATCGTCTATTGGCTTTATGTACTAAGGGAAAAATTATATTAAATTGTACATTATTTTACATTGTATTTATTTTTTATAATGACGGCTCACTATATGAGAGAACTATTTTTATTTGACATTAGTTTTTCGTAATAAACGTAAAACTACACAGTTTATAACAAATTTGACAAATTTTAACGTTGCAACCCATTCCTATTTTATTTTAACAATAGAGCATGCGGAATCGTGTTAAAAACAAAACATGCGGAATCGTATTCTTTCCTCAAACAGCATACAATGACCTCAATGACCGCTCATTGAAAGTCTACGCTCATATTATGATAGCGTTGGCATTTTTGCCTTTTGCTGATGTCCCTCTCACTTTCTCTCTGTAAGAATATGATGCGCATAAAAACTTATTACCAATTTTTGAATATTTTGAAAAAAAATATGTTCTTGGGCTCCCAGCATGATAGAGGAGAAGGGGAATTCTTCCACGTTATCTACCAGTAATTTGGAACCAGCACAAAACGGCCTTTACTGGTTCATATAAAAACAATAATGTAAGCGAGGTATGGCACAATCGCTTCCAACATGTTGTCTGCAAATATCATCCTAATCTTTACTCTACTCTTGGTGAATTCCAAAAAGAACAAGCTAAGATAATTATTGCAGAGCTGAGCTCATTTTACAACAATCGGGCATCGTCAGTAAACGTCGGAATATATTCGGAGAAATGCATGCATGCGCATTACATATTATTATAGCCATTCTATTTCCTCCTATTGGAAACTATAAGTTAGGTTAGAAAATGAAATAACAATGATAGATTAGATTGTTATAGGTTTGGTTTTTAATTTCGGCATGTTTGAAATAAATAACACCTTGAATGCTCAAGAGCTTAGATTAGTGTAATCTAGGTTTATACAAAATGCAATGTTAGGTTAGTTTAGTATAGGTTTGGTTAGGTTAGTTTAGCATAGGTTTGATAAGAAAAAAAATATCGGACAAATCGGAATTAGTCATAATTGGAATTAAACAAAAACGTCACAGAAATAAAGTTTGTTACATATTACAATTCGATAACCTGGATTAATTGTAGGTGTCAAATTTTTAATTGAAGAAAGAAATGTTAGATGATAATTCAGATTTAAATTATAAGATGAAAATTTAGATGGATTTAAATAAAACTACTTCTAGTAAAAACAAAGAAAAGCAGGTACTTGTGTATAATAATATACATAATATATATATATAATTATTTAATTATTTTGTATTATTAAATATAATATATAAATTAATATTTATATACATTTTGTCTTTTTTTTGTTTCAAAAAAAAAATTATATCTCTTCTATTATGGTTGTATAAATATAGCTCAACGCTTAAAAGTTGTTGAAACTAGGTAGTTTGAATTATAGTAAGATTACTTTTTTACCTATATGAAAATGCCCAATCTTCTTCGTCCATCGATGACAGCAGCGATTTGATATATTTTAGTCCGTACATTCTGCATACATCGTATCCTCTCTTTTCTTTTACGTGTGGTAGATAGTTGGAAAATATCGTTAAATAATTTGTTGTCGGTTGAGAGGGTAATGGTGACATTGGCGAATAGCTGATTTATCTAGTAATTTTCTAGACGTTTTAATTGCTTGCATAATTTATCTTACAACGCTAATCACTGTGGCAGGAGCAGAGCGGTCATTTTCCAAACTAAAACTTATATAGAATTACCGAAGATACTCATGTAGAGAAGAACGTATACCTATTAAAGTAATTTTAAATATAGAAAAGGAACGTACCAACACTCTAAATATTGAGAAGATAATTGATAATTTTGCCAACAAAAAGTCGAGGAAAAAAAATGTCTTAAAATAGAACATCTTAACTTTTTTGTTAACGTATTTACTTTAGTATTGGAGGATTTTATTTGACTTAATATATTATTAATTTTATTATGCTGTGTACTTTATCACTTTTTAGCTGTACAGTTATCTATCATAGTTATATACTAGTTGATCTTTTAATAAAAAAAAAATGTTTAATTAGGGGCCCTAAATTTTCTTTTGCACTAGGGCCCTCAGAATTCAAGATCCGGAACTGATAGCTGGGAGGTAGAGGTGATGTAATTATTAAATTACCCGAGCTCTGCATATCCGTTCAGCACTCTGCTAATTGAATAGTTGCAAACATTTTGATTTGAGTGACATAACAGACATCTTGTTTCAGCATGTTCACTATGATTTTTTCATCTTGAAGATTTTTTATTAACATTTGTATATCACTCATATTCAATAATGGTGTTTCCATTTTGGTAATTTCTTCTTTTATGTAACGACCAATCTGGTCAAATTGTTTTAATACTGTTGGTAAATTGATGGCGATTTTCCGTACGACTGTTTCGAAAATGAACCATTCCCAACTTTGAAGTATGAATAAATCCTGTTTATTTATTATGATGTGGCAGTCAGTCACGGATTTTGTTTCCATTACAAGGACGTTTTTCTTTTTGTACACGCAACGTAATGTACAACTTGAATATTGCGGTTTTCTAGAAATATGTGTGACTTGTATTTCGGTGTGTCGAGGATGATTAACAGGATTTTGTCCATCAGTGAAAATATGCGTGTTAGAATATCTGGCGTTATATTTAAGTACCGGGACGGAGTTATTATTTGTACTTTGACGGCGAACATGTCTATTGAGTCGATGCCTATATCTATGAACTTACGTTCTGTAAAGATCAGAATATAGTTATTGCAATCGATTAGGTCCGCTAGCGATGCTGGTACAACATATATGTATAATTGGTTCTTGATACGTTTGTTTCATTTACAGCAGCCATTTTTAAAATATTTGTAAATATTTTTGAACACTTGGTAAAATATTTTAGTAGGAGAAATGAGCATTGTTAGGCGACTTGCTTGCTACGAATGTGAGATGGATAATAATTCCGATTCTCATTTACTAATATTTTGACGAGATGAAATGTTTACATTTATTGCGGGAGTTAGAGACCTGTCACAACCTGCTCAGACATGACTCATGGTTAGAATGTCTTGCGGATGATAAAAATTCATTGTCCGTATCCGAGATAGTGTCCATTTGTCACAAACTGTGCATCCGAATAACGATGAGGTTATATAATTATGCGTGGGCGATAAGGACAAAAGCATGGACGGGCAGAACTTGCCGGTTATAGACCCTCGCTAGACGGGCCTGCACAGGTCCGTTGTCGCCGATGATTATATCCCATAAAGGTAAAATCCTTTATCCGAACCATTGACGGGAATATGAAATAATATTTAATAACATAGATAGTATTTGGTCGTAACGGAGGGTATAGGTAGTGGGTGTGCGGGGTAACGAGCGCGGGAGCTGGTGCGCGTAAACAACATTCGCAGCGGAGGGTATGGGTAGAGGGTCGGCGTGGAACACGAGCTCGCGGAGGTGAAATTATGTTGTAAAGATAATCGCAGAGGCGTTGATGGGCGGAGGAGAGGTATACGTTATAGACCCTAGAATTGGCGGATCTGTGAAGGTCCCCGTTGTCGCCGACGATTATATTTCGTATAGGTATACGCGTATGAAAAATCTTTTGTCATTGATAACCGATTGTGTATGAGTACGACCGATATAAAATATCATTTTTTTGTATAGATAATATTTAACGGTTGTAGAGGGTAGATAGGCGGGGGAGGTGTGTACGTTATAGCTCTCGACCGATAGGTTCACACCGGTTCTTCGTCATCGTTTATATTTCGTATAGGTAAAATCGTTTGTCTCGATATCGGCAACCGATAGTGAGCAGAGGGTATGCGGGATAACGCGAGCGCGTGGGCAACCGCGGAATAATATTCGTAAAACGAAAATCACGACCTTTGTAACCGCGTGTGTGCGGTTACGCATTATTAAAACCGGTAAGATAAAATATTATTATCAATACCCACCGTGAATACTATATAATATTGTTTGCATAAAAAAAACACTGGTCGATGATTTAGGTATAAAGCACCTACATGTAATACGGCGATCGTGTGTAGGATGATTCAGCGACAGGAAAAAAATATCAGCGAAAATATTATATACAAGATCGATTGTATGTTAGTGATGGTGATGTGTATGTATGTACGTGTGTATATGTATATGTGTGTTTATGTTCATATGTTTGTGTAGGTAGACGTGTGTGTGTGTGTGTGTGTGTGTGGTATGGGTCGTGTGATATTTTATCATAGTGGTGGTGGAAAAAAATTACTGTATTGTATATTATGGTAGTATATGTGTGTAATATTTTATCGAAGTGACGGGGGTGTTCGATGTCTCGCGAAATTGCGATGAGTCTTAAAAAAAATACATTATAAGTGGTATAGCACAGAATTTGTGCATAAAAAAAAAAATAATATTTAATAATCACAGGTATAAGATAACGATAACAGTAGGTATATGATAACGAAATAAGTAAAACAATAGGTATAGTATGTGATAAGAGTGATACCGTAGATATATGATTAAGATGCTGATGTAGATATGTGATAACAGTAGGTATACATACGAGTAAGTCGAGTAAGTAGCTGATAATGTTGAAACAATATTTAAAAACAAATATTTAGAAAAAAAGGAGTAGAGGAAAATGCATGTCGATGAAGAGGTGGACAGTTTCATACTTTTTGCTCCTTATTTCTTGCTCCTTGCTCATAGATGGGATGCCATGTTACGGGTATAGTGCCTGCTCCTGCTCCTGAGTTAGAACCGCTCTTTTTAACCTTCTAAAATGGTTTAGAGAAAAAAAATCTCTCGTTTGCTAAGAATCTAAAAGCTCATTTCATAGTAAAATCAATTAATGCCTAACTGCACTTAGAATCTAAAGTAATAGTATTATATTGTTCTCTTTTAATATTCCAATGCATACCGAGATATCGACTTCTTAACATTAGTATCGTTTCTCATCACATATTCGTTTCTTTAAAATTATTATAATATTATCAAATTCTTATTAGAAATTTGAATGTATTATTTTCTTTACATTTAACAACTATTAACAAACTTTGATGACTACTTAATGTAAAATAAATATCCATATTATGCACATTAACAAAATCCAATAATTAAATCTTAACAGTAAATAAAAAGGTTTATTTTTAGTGAGAATGAACCGTATACGTTTTTGCATAAATATACGGCCACAACAATGGCCGGTTTTTTTTACCCACTTATTTTTTAAAAATGAAAAAAATGATTTTAGTAAAAATAGAGCATGTACAACGTTCTGAAGAAAATAAACTGTCCCGTATATTTAGGATCTAATTGGCGAATTATTTGGAATGTCATTTTTGGAATGTTTCTTGTATTTACTTAATTTCTTAACAGTAACAGAAAACCGAAAAAAAACAGACGAGAAATTTCAACTTCATTTTTTTTTTTTTAATTCAATAATATACAATTGAAACCGAAAATATATTTACCAAATACTATTTCTCATTGTCAGTTAAGGTATAACCGAAAAAAATTCAACAATTTATACATAGAACACGATATTATTTAACTTTACATCTCCTCCTATTTAAAATTGGAACATTTTTTTTTCTTTTTAGATTGGGAGCGAAGAGAGGTATATATTGGTTTTGATAATATGACGTGTATGTTTTTTTTTTTTTTTTTTTTTGTATTTCTTGGGTCTTACAAACTTTTCTATTAAAAAACGTGTTACAATCAAAAATTACAAAATCACTTTCTTGTTGCATTTTGGATCTATTCAGTTCTTTGAGAAGGTCATTAATTAATTTTCTAAAAGTTTTTCAAAATAATTATAACGAATGGTAATACGGCAAGTATTTTCGATACGTTGAGGGATAATCAATATTATAGGTTCAAATCATTACGCACTGTTTTCTAAAAATATCGTTTTAATTAAAAAATACTTAGAGATCTATTTTTTTAAATTTTGGATCTAGTTGCCAAAGAAATAATATATTTTTTTAGATTTTTCAAGTAATTTTCAAATAATAATTGGGAAAACCGGAAAAAGATTTAAAATGTATTCTGATAAATAACTGCGTTAAGTTGTCATTGTTTAGATTCTGAGTAGAGCGAAGAAGATTATGGTTTTACAAAGATTTTTATTTTTTTATTTGTTTTTTTTTATCTGTGCGTAACTACCAAAAGAATTGCTCGGATTTTTACGTGTAGCACCTTTTCTGAAGGAAAATTGGTGTGGGGAGGTACGTTAAGGAAAGTCATTTTTGAATTTTTGAGGAGTTTTCTCATTAAATTTTAAAAACCGAAAAAATGAAAACGGGAAAATGTAAGTAGTGTAGGTATTAGTTAAAATATAATGTTATGATCTCCTTTTTTTTTGTATACAGCTTTTCAACCAAAAATTTTGCTCCGACTTATAATGATACCCATGTTTCTAAAATAAAATCCGACCGCGGGGATAGTTTAAAGACGTCATTTTTTGATTTTCCTTGGAGTTTTCCCATCAAATGTGAAAAACCGAAAAAAAGTAGGAAAACTGGTAAAATCAGTATAACATTAAACAAATACTATAAAAGGAAATGTATAAAGCCTATTTAATTATTTTACTTTAAAATCACAAATATATATTGTGGACAATGCATCACTATCAACTGAACTCCGCTCAGAATCATTCTTGTGTAAGTAATGGTTTATTGTTGCTGACAGGTATACATTCAACTATCTATAACAGTGGCTGACCCCGTTCCCATTTTCCTAGGACATCTTTTTAACTTGTACGCTTTATGTTTTCTACCAGAAATATGTCTCCAATAGAAAACCTACATGAGATGTTTTTTGTTGGATTTTCAATCTTGTTGATAAGTAAGAAAGACATTTTTTGATATTCCGTATAGTTTTTAATAAATTAAAACAACATTGAAAATGAATATAGAAATACCTAGTAAGTTTATGAAAATAATAGTTTTATTGTTTTCAATTTTGTTTATTTTTTCTTATAATTCAAGTAAAAATATTATAGGATTCTAAAATTTTAACAGAAAAATTATATTTGTATTCTTAGAAGTAGCAAAATTTTAAAAACATTTTAGTGCTTTTTGAGCTATTCGTAGGAATTATATGTGTTGCGATTTTTTACGTAGTATTTATTTAGTAGGTTCTATGTGGATGTGATTGTTTGGTCAAATAGAAATGTTTGACAATTTCACAATAGATTCATTATAAGTTTTACTTGGTCGTGTGAAAGAAAGTAGATGAAATCTAGTATATTTTAATTTTATATTGGTTTTAAAATCAAATTTTGATGAAAACCGTAAATATTACGGCCTTCCAAATCATGTATAACCGAACAACACTCATAATTGTTTTTCGTCAACAATGGTTTATGGTTGCTTACATATAAAAATGAAATAACTTTGTACGTCTTACCCAATTCTACCTTCCCAACTTCCCAAACTTTCCTCCTATAATAGTGGCGCAACCATCGGCAGTTGTGTCTGCAGTTTTTTTACAATATTATGCGTAAACATACTCTCCACCGATTTATTACTGTTATTATTTCAAACAGGGTACACCGCAAACTCTAAAAATAAAAAACGATGATAGTTCAAGATTTCTAACCATCCCTCCCCTTCACATACACGCATACACGCACGATGGGCTTCATAAAAATATTTTGTGTTACCTCTATCGTTAGTAACTTGTGGCGTTCTCGGTTACCGCGTCGGCGACGGCGGCTCATCTTTTGCGCAAGCATTTTCGTGTCCGACTCTAGTGGCGGCGGCGGCGGCGACGGCGGCAGCGGATGACGGCGTCGAAAAACCGTTTAAATGTTTGTCGGGCCACTCGGGTGCCGGTTGTCTGATACCCTGTACCTCACGTTTTATCGCGCGCGGTCCACAAACGGTTCACGACATCTGTAATCCCAACGGACACGTTTATTGTATTGCCTACGTTAGTGAAGTAAGAATATTCTGCCTTCGTCCGAAGAAATAAAAGGGGAAAAAAGACGGTAAGTAATGTACTATCCGTAGTCGATTATCAGCGAAAAATATATTGGTATTACTATATTATGATATTATTTTTTTTTCTGCCTGTATGTAAATAACTATACTACCAAAAATCTTGCTTTGAAAAAAACGACAAGACACCTTTTTTGGTTAAAATTTTGAATCTAGTTGATACGATGATGAGGAAATTTTTTGATTTTTCTTGTAGTTTTCAAAATAATTGAGGAAAAACATCAAAGTTTCATTTGTTTAATTTATTCAATAATATTATATTCGATTGAAAAGAAACTTAAAAGTCCTTACAGTTTTATAGAATACTAAACTTATTTTATTTATACTCAGGTTTTTTGGTATTATAATGATATATATTTATTTTGACTCAAAACAATAAGTTTAGCGTAATGTAGTAGCTTTTTTCATCAGCTTTTAACTTCAAATTGTGATCAAAAATTACGTCTTTTCAAAACAAGTTTTACAACCGAAGTTCACTCAGAATCTTATTTTATTAGCGACGATTAATTAATGTATACTGATATACATTTAATACTCTACATCTCCTATTCTCAAATTTTTAAACAATTATTTAGTTGAATCTCCGTTTGGATTTTTTTATCTATAATCGATTTCACTACGGAATCGTATGAAAAAATATGCCATATTTTCATTATTATTTAACTATATTTAAACAAGTAATAAATAATACAAATTTTTAAAGCCTAGGGCCATGTAATAATTTGTTACATAGATAATAGAAATAATAAAAAAAAAACCTATTTACAAAATATTAAAAATTAAATATGTTCAAAATTTACTCACAAAATAGTTTTTTAGATTCTTTTTTTTCTTTAAGTATGCCAACCCTTAAGTATTTAAAATATTCTGGTTTGAAATAAAGCCATGCATACGTTTATATTATGTGTGCCTTTTTTTCATTTCTCTATTTTTATCAGGATTTATAAAGGTCAAAAAGCGTATCGTTTGACATTTTTCGAGATGGTTTTATTTTTAACCCTAAAAACTCACATAAAATGTGCTTTGGACGCGACCAATCCAAAAAATAAATGCATATAAAATTATCAAAATTTGGTAGAAAATAAAAGTTAATAATGTTTAATATTTAAAAAAAAATACTTCTATAAATATATAGATATTTATAGAAGTATTTTTTTAGAATCATTCCCGCTTCAAAATGCGTTAGGTACTCATATCATGTTAATGAATAATAATGTTGTTAATACGCAACGACGTTTTCGATTATATTAATATGACTCACTTAAAAAAAAAAAAACAAAAAATCAAAAATATCTACTCCACCAGCAGTTATGTATGAAGTATAATTTGAAAAAATCAAAATAAATATCAGAGGCAATTACCAGAATACCTAAAATTCAGTTTAAGATAAAAGATATATAACGATTTAATTATTCAGATATATAATGTAGCAACATTTTAGCTACTATATTATACGACTTAAATGTACTTTCTGTTAAATTGTCGAGCATTTTTGTTAAGTTTAATGGTTTTATCACCAGAGTACCTACCAAATAAAAGTGACGTACAAACTCATAAAATTAAAATTTTTATAAATAGCTCAAAAATGGCTCAAATGATTTTAAAATTATACCACGACTATAAAAAACAAATTTATGTTGTTTTTCAACAATTTAAGTCTCTAGGAAAAATGTTTAACAAAATTACAGTAAAAAAACAAAATTAAAAACAGACGGATAAACTTCGAACGATGGGTGCAGGTACTGTTGGTGAGAAGTTAAAAAGGTAGGATATAGAGAGAAAATTAATTTGTATCTGTAAGCAACAATTGACCATTGCTCATTAAAAACGATTCTAAGCGAAGCTCTGTTGATAGAGATGATTTATCATCAATATATATGTATGCCATTTTGGTAAAATAATTAAATAAACATATATTTTCTTTAATAATATTTGTTTAATGTGTTTTCATATGTTTTTCCCGGTTTTTCATATTTGCTGGGAAAACTCTAGGGAAAATCGAAAAATAACATTCTTATAGTACCCCTCAATCAAATTTTCTTTTAGAAAACGTGCTTTAATTGTAAATTTGAGTAAAATTGTAGGTAGAGAGTGAGTTGTCCATAGAAAAAAATATCATAATATTTTATACTGATATATTTCATATATTTTCCCGTTTTTTTTTTTTTTACTTTTTCCCTTTTACTAGGAAAACTGCCGGGAAAATTAAAAAAATAACTGTTTAAAGTACTACGCCAAGACAATTTCCTTTAAGAAAACGGTTTACATCGTATACATTAGAGTAAGCTTTCTAGTAGAAAAAGTGTTTTTTTAAAAAAAAAAAAAAAACATTTTTATTAAACAATACATTCTTCGCTACACTCAGAATCTAAAATAGGTGATAAAAACATCATTATTTTTGTATAGTTTCCCGTTCCCTCTACGTTTTTTTTTTTCGATTAGGTTAATCATTTATTAAAAAACCTACTGAGAAAATCAAAAACGATTTTTTTATTTACTAAATATTAAAAATATTAAACAAAACAAATTCCTTGTTATTTTTCTTTTTCATCAATGGTTCTAGTAGAAATCATAATTCGTAAAAATTAAAAACAATGAAATCGCTAACGTTGCGGCGCGTTGTGCCGTAAATATTTGCCGTTTAACCTATAATTTTGTTTCTGGTTTTTCCCAATTATTATAAATATCTCTTGAAAAATAAAGTAAATTAAATGTTTAAAGTATAGGTGTACAGATTTGGTACACGCATAGATTTCAATAGACGTGTGATAAATGAAACTGAACGATTTACTTTAGAATTAATTTTATTATATAATATATGAATTAAATATTTTACAGATTATACTGTTACTTCCATTATTTCCAATAAATATATTAATTATAATTTTAAATGTTTTATTACAAGGCGGTAACTACTGAGATCATTGGTCGAAACGAAATGATGACATTCTCTTCTATTTATTGTATGATATTATATAATTTTTAGATTCTGAGCGGAGCGAGGAGTGTATTGATTTAACAATGTTATTTTTTTCTGTAAACGACTTTTCTACCACCAATTTTTCTTCGACTCTTAAATATAGCACCATTTCTGAAAGGAAATTTGACGACTTATATAGTAGCTTAAGGAGTTTATTTTTATTTATTTTTACCATTGGTTACCATAATAAATGGAAAAAACTGGGGAAAACCTTAGGAAAAACGAACAAATTTACGAAATGTAGATATTATTTTTAAGTTGTAAATAACTACGCTAAAAATCGTCTTTCATTAGCAATAATAATCGTTGCATACAAACATACATAAAACTTCGCCTATACCTTCCCAACTTTTCACTTACAACAGTAGCTCACCCATCGTGCGAAGTATGGCCATTTGTTTTTTTTTTTTTTTTGTATAATTGATCTAAAATAGTTATGATTACCGGGATTATATTATATTTATTTTATAATTAATTATCACAGATAATTCATTTTTCGTTTACTTGGAAAAGTTAAAAAATAAAACTATATCTGCCTAAATAAATTTATTTAAATAAAATAAATTACTGTTCACCAATAACACCGTAAAAGGATGATTTTTTTCAAAATGCAAATAGTAAATAAGTCATTATTAATATTTTAAGTACAGCTATACCAATTAATAATTGGTCGAATAAAGTAGATATTCAATATTTATTCAACGGGATTTCGAAAAATATTTTAACTTTCTAATTATTAGCATTCAGTAAGTCTTTGGAATATTATTATTATTTATCTGTTGTAAATTTAAAATTTGAATTATTGCCCACGTAAAAACTCGTATCAATATTTAATTAAAAAAAAATAAATAAATTTGCCCATTCACGTAATTATATAAATTCTGAGACTAAAAACTAATTTCAGTATGTAAACAAAGTAATGGAAGATATTTTTTTAATTAGATTTGTTTAGATTCTAAGTGTAGCCAGGAATCTATAAGTTTAATTATGATGTATGTTTTTTATTTTTATTTTTTTTTTTTATTTCTTTTTGGAGTTAAGTATCTATTGGCCACTATGAACATCCCAACACATACCCAATTCTTCCTGTTAGCTCATTTTAATCTCAAGTTAGAACTACCTATTTATTTAGGTTAGGTTCCGTTTTGAGTGGAATTTTTCATTCCAATGTTTTGTTTTCCCCCGTCATACCTGACCATACTTATAATCTATACGCAATTTCGAATCATATTACCGCAATAATATTATACATTTCTAGTTTCTCAGTTATAGAGAAAAAAAAATTAATTTAACATTTTCCCAAAATATTGAAAATTACTTATCTAATTTGCGTGCTATTTTACACGGTTATATTTTCTTTTATTGTGATATCTTCGGTATATTTGTATTTGTATTGTTGTCCTATAAATTTCTGTCCGTTTTGATTACCTACACATTTACTTTGAGTTTTTATATGGTCTAACTTAGATAGCGTTATCGTTCATAAAATATAAAAAAATACATAATTCGTGAATGATTTCGTTCGTCATATTATCCTGATTTTCTTTTTTAACGATAGGTACGTAGTTATTATTTTTAACTAAAAAATATGAGGCGATGGACGGATAAACGGAAATTTTAAAATGCAATTTATAGAGTAATAACTGGACGCATCGTCTTCTTATTATTATTTCTATTGTCGTTTATTGTTGATTTTCTGTCTTGCATGATAAATATACATAATATTTAAATTATAAGTGGTATAACGAAAAAGATAAATTTAAAGAAAAAAAAAAGGTCTCTATAGAGTCCTTTGTAAACAGCTATTTCATTATAAAACTAAATTCTAAGTTATAAATAATTAAGCGACGAAAAATTGAGATTTTCGTTGTTTACTCTTTAAAACGTTAATCAGATTTTCCAAATATATTTTATTAAACCTAACGTATACTTATATGCATAGTTCGAATTGAATTGTTTTTTAAACACAATTTGTTGTTGGTTTAAAAAATGTATATTTGAATAATAAATTATACTTATCAATATCGAAATTTACGAATTAATATTTATTTACAATTCAATATTTAAGTTGTCTCTCGTTATTTAATAATGATATAATATGAAAATAAGTATCAGGTGCTCACATTCAAATTTTGAACTTTAAATTAAACGGTTGAATCGTTTAAAAAAAAGGTTTTTATTCTCACTATCTTCCAGCTAACTTTTCTTTTTTTTTTTATATAATTGATCTAAAATAGTTATGTTTACCGGGGTTTTATTACATTTTGATGTGTATTTTTATTTAGAAAACATCTACAAAACATGTAATTTAAACATTAAAATATTTAGGGGAAAGGTTTAAAAGTTAAAACCCCTAAAACCAAATCCTTAATACTTGCACTATGCATGTACAAATTTTAATTTGTCTAACTTCATTATGGAGATCTGTAGAGGTGTATACATAGGCGTAACTAGTTATATGAATTAAAAAGAGCGGCTAGAGTCCCAGCTGTTCTTTCTCCTATACAATTTTCTAGAAAACAGCCACTCCCCTCTCTCATGTAGGCTAAAATGTACAATAAAGAAGCAATTTCTTATTGTTGTAAGGATTCCTAAATATAGCAAAATTTATTGAGTACCTTCTCACATGGATATACTTTCAGAAAAGGTGCTACACTTAAAAATAGGAGCAAGATCTCAAGTAGAAAAGTTGTTCATAGAAAAAGAAACATAAAAAAATGAACATCTTTTATAAAACCATAAGCTTCTTCGCTCCACTCAGAATCTAAAAAGATAGGTTTTCAACTATAAACATTTTTTTTTTTTTTTTAATACGAAAAAAACTTTTTTCAAATTCTACTGAAATTTTAAAAATACATGTTTAATTTAGTCAGGTAGTCATTTTTGGGGAGGAACTGAATTGAAGACTGGGAGTGCTGGACCCCCTAGCCCTTCGCTAGTTACGTCTATGGACGTATAAAAACACCCTCCTCAACATGATGAAATTAAACTGAAATTGTGTCACTTTAAATCACTTATAAAACAACTCTAATTCCCGAATTTAAGCTCATTTAGTCCTTAAGCTCAGAGAGAGGCACTTAAAGTGTCCAAAAGTAGTGAAAAAAATAATTATATATTATATAAATATAACAGACGTAATGCAGTGCAATAGTCTCCGATTTCGGAGAAAATTCGACGAAAAAAATTGTTTTCTAGTTTCCTTCTGCTAAGAGGATTAAAATAATAATAATATTAATGATCAACAATTGAATTGAAGAAACGTAAATATAATATAAATAACGAGACCGGTGTAGAATTATTACGATATTCGATTGGACTAAGTCACGGCCACTCGCAAAGACATTGGCTAACCGAGATACCATTATTTATTTTACAATAAAATCTACCAATAATAATATTACTATTGGATTTTGTAAAAAAGTAGATACAATTTGTATTATTATTAATTTTATAACAGTCAAAAAGTAGTAATAAACTTCTCCACTTATTTTAATAATTAAAAATATTAGTAACAGATTTTTTTTAAAATTCTATTTTATTTTGTTTTAAACATAAGCTCCATATCATAACAAATAATATGCAGAAATATTTCACCGAGTTTTAAAAATAACAAATAACATTATCGCGGACAATAATGATTTTGTTTTGGTTGAAACCTGAAAATGACATTTTAAATTAACAAATGTGTGGTTCAAAAGATCCACTCGAAAATAAACTATTGTCTAATAGATTATATTTGCATTATGTGACAAGAGCGTATAACTGTTTTGAGATTCTCAAACTGGGATTTTAAACGGAGAAAAGGAGCTCTTTGATTTGTATTTTTTACCTAGCATAATTAGTTACATTTGAAAATGAGAAACTATCTTCTCCCGATCATTTTATATCTGAAATTAAGGTCGGATAATATTATTATTACAAGAAAAATAAATATGTTTTATACAATTAATGAATTCTCTAATATATTAGTTTCTAATCGAATCTATATTCTATATAAGGTCAACTTAATATTTTCATCACCTGACTCTCGTATATACATATACTTACTTATTATATTTATACTCAAGCCTATGCATACAAATATAAATATGTTATAAAAAAAAAAAATTATTATTTTGCCTTTTTTTCTTTATTAGGTAGTTAAAATAATTATTTGACAAAACTCACTTATTTAGTATCACATCTCGCGACGATTACAATATTATTTAGCGAGCTATAAATTTAAAAAAAAAATCAATAGATAAAAATACAATTTTCCTGAGATAATTAACCTTTTGCGAGGGAAAATAAGTTTTAGGTAATGAAACATAAAATTATTGAATCTCAATAAAAAAGTATTAATAATATTTTTAACTCATTGTTTTTAATATTTTTATTTCGATTTTGATACTTATTTTTCTCTATACATACGTTTAATCTCGAAATATAACTTATCGATACCTCCGTATAGAATATAGATGCACCCCGACATTTTTCGATCAGTTCCAAATTAGCATCATTATTTTGCAACTGATTTGAAAACATGTGCAACGACAATAAAAAAAAAAATAGGTGATACCACTGATGGATGCGTTAAAATTGTAAGTGGGACATTTGAAAGGTATGACTGATAAAGTTATTTAATTTTAGAAAAACTACATAGAAAATCAAAAAAACGAATTCCTTACTAACTAAATCCAAATTGAAACAATTAAGGTCTTGTTTGTTTTTCTATTGAAGCAATATATCTTGTAGGAAACAGTACGTACAACTTAATGACAATGAAATCGTTTGACACCACGATGTGGCCTTAAATATTTTTCCGTTTTTCCGATTTTGCCTAATTATTTTTAATTATTTTTTAAAATGATTCTGTATTATAACAGTGTACGTGGTGTACGGTTATAGATTTTTCTGCTTTCCGAAAATAAAAAAAAACAGCACATTTTGAATGATTATAAAAATAATATTGAATGTTGATACATTATAAATAATAAATAAATAGTGTTCATCGTCAAGACACATCAGAAATCCAGTGTAAAAATAATAATTTATCAATAAATAACCACAGATAACACACGGTTCAAGGACGAAAAAGAAAATATGTAATTTTCTATCGAGGAAAAATTGTTTTATTTAATATAGTTTATAAAAACGTGAAATTTATTACAATTATTCAAATTTGATTGGAAAAAACTGTATCCCACAATGAATGAATATCATTGAGACTTTATTATTATCATATTTCTACCTATTCAAAGTGATATTATATTTCTGTTGTTTGGGATACACTTTTTGTCGACCCGTGTTTTCCGTTAAGGACGTCGAATTTCGATGGGCATGATGTTATGATTATATAACATTAATATTATAATATATTTTCGTTTATTTTGTTAGACTTGTCACAGTAAAACCAATTTTAGTATATAGTATAGCATAGACATTTCGTCACACATAATTAAATAAACGAAATTAACTCATAATCAATATAATTATATTATTATACTATAAAGTTTTTAGTTCACTTCTTTTATTAACAGATTATCCAAATTTATATTTTAAAAATGTTATTATTTAATCCTAACAATTTCATAAAATGATGAACAACCAAAACGAAGCATGGTCAAACAAAATATAAAACTACTCTTAAGAAACCAAATGTAGAAAATAAGTCAACATTATATTATAATATCAAATATAATGTTAAACTAATGATGTTGTCTTATTATATAACAAAGAGTTGCACGAGATAACAAAATTACTGTCCATAACAAATTGTATTAAAGATCAGAAACTACAATAGTTCTCCAATTCCATTGGGTTGTTGGATTTGCAGGGAAAAGGAAGACAAACTCAGAGCAGCTATACAATGAAAATTAATATATAAAAAAACAGAAGAGATTTAGAAAACGTTAGTTGGACAGAATTGACAAAGACTAAAATTAAAAAAATTAATTGGACAGAATTTATCAGAGAAACAAGGAAGTTGTGTTGATAAGTAAGGCCCCCGAAGAGCTGTTAAGTTAGAGAATAAAGATACAATGATGATTTGAAGATATTTTATTGAAATATCTAAAATAGAGAAAACCACGGAATTGTAATGTTCCAATCTAATTAAATAAATAAATCAAAGCGAATTTAATAGTTCAAATATAATAGTGTAATATTATTTTACAATATTTCAAAGCAATTTTGGGTACTTACTAAAAACCGTGTGTCTAGTTAGTGAATGTTAATTTGTTTTAGTGATAAATGATAACCGAAAATAAATATAGTCAATATTAATGCAAATAAATCACGATTGAATACTAATCTATAATACAATACTTCGACCATTCACTTTAAATAGCAAAACTATTAAATAAATTAAAATGTGGCTTTTTAATGGAAAGTATCAATTATATTTACGTAACATTACTACAGATATTAAACATCATGTAAACAGAAAAAATACCACAACCTATTTTATTAACAAGAATGTAAGATCTGATGAATAGGTAATTTCATTATCAAAAGTACTAAAAAAAAAAAAAACAAAAAAAAATAACTAAAATATCCACTTCGTTATTATTATAATAATAATTATAATTTTTTTTTCTCAGTTTTCAGGTTTTTTTTTTATACATTTTAAAATACACTTTATGAATAAACAATAATAATAAATAACACCAAACACTTAGAGATTAATTTAGTACAAAAACAATTAATTTATACCTACTACCTACCTATACCTATTCATTAACTCTTCACGTGGTCATTAATCAACATTTCAGCTGAGGTCCTTTCATAATATTGTATATTGTTTGTACGCACTTGTCATCTAAGTAATTAGATATACAACGGCTTAACAACATTCGTCGCATAAGAAACTTTTTAAAAATTGGTTTTTAAATAAATTCAGGCTTAAAGCTCATATTTGTAGGTTAACAGTATAATAGGTTCTATGATCAAAGTGAGAATAAGCTAAATTATTTGAAAATATTGTATTCAATTATTATACAATACCTAAACGTTATTATTATTTTTTTAAATTTTGTACAATTCCCAACAATCCAGAAATCATCTAATTTTAGTTGCCAAGTGTAGTGAACAAATCATCAATTTCACTAAAATGTAACTCTGTTGGTTAGTAAAAGTATTCCAAATTTTTTCCCACCGCACTAGTGGTACTTTATTTTATTTTTAAAAATGTCCGATAATTTTTCTTTAAAATTAATAAAACTGATAATAAGTTACGGTAAGTAGGTTTTTTTTTTTTTGTTAAATTCTAAGTTAAATGTAAGGCACAGTGGAAAAGAACACGACAATAATACCTACTATAAACTTATAAGTTTACCGAGCTAAATTTAGAATAAATTTTGATTTTAATGATTTATATTGCTTTCAGTATACAAAGTGTCCCACCAGGATTCGACAAATACAATCATTTTTGTTCTATTTAATAATTTTGATATATATTTTTTTTAAATAATTAGTGTGCCTTAGCGCTACAATTAATTTATGAACATTCTTTCGGGGAGAGTGGGATTTAAAATAAACAAATTTAAATTGTATTATAATTTTTTTAAAGAAAATTCAAAATAGCTATTGTTTAATTTAGATATTTTGAATATTGTTAATGATTGAAACTTTTGTTAATGTATGGTCTTTTATTTTCTATATTAATTGAAGTTATTGCAAATGTGAATGTTACCTTTTGTGGTTATTCAATTATCAGATATTAGTCAGGATTTTCTTTTCCATGAGATAATATCCTGCAATAATATTATCATAGCATAGTTATTAGGTAGTTTAAATCAATTAATAATGATGATTTATGATGATAAACAATATTGTTATGACTAAAAATAAAATAATTTAAATTTTCAAAAAATCATTGAAAATAAAAGACCATACTTTAACAAATGTTATAATCACCAAAAATTTTCTAAATATCTATTTTAAAAATTGGCTATTTTGAATATTTTAAAAAAAATTATAGTAAAATTATACATTTTTTATTGTTATCCCTCTCTCCCTAAAAAAAATTTCATATATTAACTGTAGCGGTGAGGCATACTAATTATTTAAAAGAAAAATGTAAACCAAAAATATTGAATAGAACAAAAGTTATTGCATCTGTCGAATCCTTGTGGGACACTCTATATAAACTAAATTACTCTGTATCCTATACTTTCCTAATTTCCACCTAATGGCACACTTATGGTTCAAAATATGTCCATCTTTTTTGTTTTAATTTTTCATCTATACCCCCCGCGCACTATACTCAGGCAGCCATTGTTTAATCGTATTCATTCATGCTTGGTTGTTATATTATATAATTTATAAAAATACATGGCACACAATAGAATTGTAAATTTGTTGTGGTTAAAACTTGTCAGTCCTTATTGTTCAGGTTGTTAAAAAAAAAGTCCCATTGGTATCCGACAGGAGTATAATATTAAGAGTTACTCAAATCCTAATTGTAACACGCGGTTTCTGCAAAAAACATCAATTACTTAAATGGCATACGCTTTGTAGGCTAGGTTGGACAACTAATTATCATTAGGTAGGTAAATATTATTTTAAAATGACACTCGGGGAGTTACAACTACGTTTGAAATTAAACTTTTCTATAATTGGACCACGGGGTTTCTGGAAAATATATTTTAGACGTGGTGATACTTTTTATTAAAACCCGTAACGATTACGAAGATTCCGAGTAAATTCTGCTAGCTGTGATAACAATCGTGGTGGGGTTAGTGATGCCATTACTCGTTTTCGTGCTGAATTCCTTACTAAATTTGAACGTTGAACACTCAGATAATACTATTTTGTTACATGCAGTCTTAAAATTCCATGTCGATAATTTTTATCTGTGTATAAATATTTTAAACTAAAATAAAAAACTAGCATATAAAAGATCAACGTCCGATTTCAAGAACCATTACACCAGTTCAATTATTGGGACCAAACATGAAATCAAGTATGCAATCTGGACATAAACAAGGTTGTATACAATTTCTGGAAAAACTGGCAGGTATCAAATTAGATAATCTTCGTAGATAAGAAACGTTGGTCTAAATAAAATAATCATCCTTTATTTACAAAATAATATAATAAATACTTACGAAGACGTGACCAATACAATATTTATTGTTCGCAACGTCATACAATCATCGATTTTAATTTATAACAGATACCTACGTATATTGTACTAAAATATAAAATTAATGATAACACTATTATAAAGATGACAGACGCATGACAAATTACAATAGTTCTTCTCTAGAGTGTCATACTTCAGTCGTTTTAATATTTTTAATTTTAATGTATTGTTTTAGGTTTTGTTTCTTAATTCGATCCTAAACATTATGAACGATAGTTTTATTTTAATTAGGGGTACTGATTAATTTAAAAATATATAAAAAAAAATATATAAATAATTAAATATTATTCATTTATATTATACTCCAAACGACAGTTGCAAAAGGTTGAAGACAATTTAGAAACAAGTTTAAATTTTAAATCTAACAGTACAATATTATGAACTTCACATAAATTTAAAAAAATTAAGGACTCCGGAAATAAAATATGTTCTAAATATGTAGTTATGTCTATAAGAGGTTGTGCGGACTGAGGATAGAAAAAGGTATCCGGTTAAGGGTAGAATACGAAGTAATTCTCTAGGAGATTATTTCAAGAAGATCAGAGGAATCTAGAGACCTATTGAAAGAGCAATTAATATAAAGCTTGTCAGTTTTGAGACATCGCAAAGATTGAGATTGAATCGGGAGGTCTACTTGGATAGGTGACCAGATGAATAGTCGTAGTGGGTGACCGAGGTGTTAAGAATAAGAGCGGCATTAACAAAAGATTTATTCTGAATACGTTCAAGGAGTAGTTGGGATTTTCTAAGGAAAGTATCAGATACCTGTAATAAAATTGAATCGGAAAACTTCCTAATATCTTCTTCTCGATTTTTGATCAATTTTGTAAAAACAAAAATTATGACTGAACACGTTCAGATTTTTAGTAGGTAATCTTAATAATATTGCTATATTATTTATTTTAAGGAGTTGAATTAATTCGTGGACTAACAGCAAACTGCAGCGTTTAGGTATGCTAGTCGTGTTCAGAGTTTTCGAGTTTAACAGCTATCCTAAACAATGTTTATAATAAAATTGAAAATAAAAAAAATAAGTTTGTTTAATACGATTAAACCAAACCAGTCGGGCAAAACCTGCATAGGTTTGAGGGGTTTTTATTCACAATCGTATGAAACACAGACGGTGCACACAGCAGTCTCTAACTTATTCCATAATAATATGTCACATAGACGTAATATGATGATTGAAAAATATTTCTCGAATGGCCATTTTATCGGCCGAATTAACTTCGTTATTATTTAATTTCTTTAAATAACATCTTCACATTATTAACCACCGTTCTCGTGGTTTTTTAACTCATCTGTATGTCGCTACTGTCAATTATTTATTTAAATCACCAACCCCGATTAATTATGTCAACACCGAGTTCATTAATAGATATTTTAATAATATTATAATCAGATTAATGTAAACGATTGTATTTTTATTTTTCGAAATCCTATGCTCCCTAACCTAAAATAAAATAAAAACTTCCCGTTTAATTTGTTATAATATTATAATCGTACAAATTAAATTTATTTTAATTAATCGTATTTTACTCTTACGAATAAAAACCTTTGGCCACGACTTGAGTTTAAATCAACATTTTATCAGTTACAATATTTCTTTTTCATAATGTCGATGTATATCTACCTAAGTAATTTACCTACGTAATAGGTAAATAAAATATAACGGTTTATCGTATACTTTTAATGGATAAAAAAAACCAAAACAAAACAAACAAATTACTTAAAGGCTGGATTTACGAGGATAAAAATAATAATGTATAATGCGAATCGAGCAATCTCTGCGGTTGCACCGCAACAGACGGGATCGTTATAATTTTTTTTTATTATAATATTTTATAGTCTTTCGATGACTATATTACTATAATATTTAGGTACCGTAATATTTCATTAACCGTTCGCATTCATTAAAAACCATCGCAGTATCCATCAAATTCTCCTCTACCTCAAATTCCCTATACCCGATAAACATTATAACATTGGTATGTCAATAAAAAATAATAAAATATTTTAAATTCGTATATTTCTACTCTATAACGGGAGGTGTGGGTGAGGGGAATGAATTATTGTCGTGCCTATATACTTACAATAATATTATACTTACTCATTTACCTGCATACCTATACATTTATACAATAATAATAATAATAAAAGTAATAATAATAATTTATACGAAACTTGCGTGGCTTGTGTTTCATAATATTGTTATAATTCAAAGTGATATTTTAAACTTTCTGCTTTGCGATGTGTTTTCGACTTTCGTCTCGTTAAATAATAATTCGAAATAGTTTCGAGTCGGAAAAATAAGTAATACGCGCAAATAAAACTTAAGCTATTTAATAATATTAAAAACATTATTTTAATTTTAATACGATTTTGAAGTTTTTTTTTTTTTTAATAAGATGAAAATATTGTATTTCAGGTAATATAAAAAATTCTTCGTGTTATTTTGTATGTGTTTTATATGTTAACACTCAGAAAATTAGCCGCCCATTTCGAATAATGTTTAATTATTATTAGTTAGTAACTGCACAATTTTAACATTAGCAATGATACCATTTCCTTGTAGTTAATAGTAAAGAATATTAAACAATCACACACTTTGATATAAGCACTCTCTATAGTGATATTAAAAATCTAAGTTTACAGGGTGTCAAACAAAGATCTAACACCTGAAATAACTTTTGTGCTATTCATTATTTGAATTATTTTTTTTTTAATAATATATAAAAAATAATGCCTCTGCGCTAAAATAATGTGTTTATTTTTAAGCAAAATAAAAAATAAAACATTTAACATTTTAATATAGGGTTAGTTGTCAGAAAAATATTTTTTTGAATTTTAGAGAGACCAAGGTAACAATTAACGTTTTTGTCAATAGTTAATTTTTTAGTATAAACTCTTGACTTTATTTTCTCAGATTTTCAAGACTTAAGTTAAAAGGTTATTTACAACAACAAAAATTGTCGAAGTAGATTTTTGTGCCAATCTTAACCCTGGGGTCGGTTGTCACGGATTATTAAAACGGAGGAAAAATTAAATTTCAAATGTTTAATTATTTTTTTATTAAGATTAGATAAAACGTAAAAAATTGTATATAATATAATAATATAGATTATAGAACATACGCATTAGTGGAATAGAAACTAAATTCAGGCCGGAAAATTAAAATTTATCCAGGCCACCCGATAGTATACGTATCCAAACAAAATGTTTCTAGCATTTTAATTTGAATGAGTGACGAAGCCAGGATTTTGAATTAAGGTGAACTAAATACGTATTTACTTGAGTCATGAGCAAAGATAAGAGTTAATAATCTATAAAAGATAAGATCAACGTTTAAACACTCCAAAAAATGTTCAAAAGTGATTTCAACAATATACATTTTAATATATAATTAAAAACGAAAATATACAAAAAAAAAAAAATTAATAGGAACCTAAATAAGAATATATTATGTGTCTAGGCATAACTTTTTAATAAGTTGTAAAATAATACGAGGAATTAAAATATTATACATAAATATCAGGTCACAAGACCATAATACGATCTGAAAAATTCCCATTTCCAGAACGGCGATTCCGACCCTGAACATAGACCATTGAAATTAAATATAAACATTTTATTAGAAAATAATAATTTTAAACTTAGGTACCTAGATCATCTTTCATAGATATTGAATCGGTGAGAAATAGTTAAAACAATATATATACAAATAAAATAAATACGGTATAAACAATTAAATGTCATTTAAAAATATTATTTTTGTAGCAAAATCATACAAATTTGAATAATGTCCGAAAAATTCTATTAATAAGACACTTGCAACTAATAACACAAACTTCATTAGGATTGGTAACGGCCGCTACGTGATAACAGAATCTGCGCACTGAGTTTTGTGATAACCAGCTACGGCAACCCCTATTTTAGAAAAAAAAAAAAAATAAAAATAGACATTTCGTAAAATAGATTTGTATAGAATGTTTTATAGTTAATACTTTGATTTAGGTACTTATGGTAATTTATTTTTTACAATTTTTTTCAAGTGGTATTAGTTTTCTTTTCAATCAAAACAATTTTTGTTATAGATATTGTCTACAAGTATGATAATAATTACTCTAATAATATGATATAAACGTACGAAAAATACTGATTAAATATTATAATAAATATTGAGCAAAAATAATATTCACATTTTCGGTAAGTTAAAACAAATAAATTTATATGAAAAATAAATTATCACATCAAAATAAAAGTTTTGACCGCCAACAATTTTTTTAAAAATGTATTTAACAAAATGGTCATTTTTATTTTAAATTCCTCCCCTATATGAACTTAAATAATGTTTTAATTGTAGCAGAGGCATAGTAATAAATAATTAAAATTATTTAACAGAACAAAAATGTGTTAGGTCTTCGGTTTAAATTATAATTTGAAAATTTAAATATTTATCATTAAGTTGAAAAATTAATATCAATTTTTTAAAATATAAACAGCAGCAATTTAGACCAAAACATAAATGAATACAAATTACATTAGACAAAATTATATGAACAAATAACAAAAATTGATTTAAGTCCTTTTTCCCTGGGACCAAACATATAGTAACACTGTGGAAATATTTTTATTGCGCTTGATGATTGACGCAATCATGCAATTTTATTTGAATAGGCAGTATCGTGATCAATTTGTTTTCTAAATTCATATCATGTCAAGATATTTCGTGCGAATTCATAATCAACGTTGGTTGCACAATAGAACTAACAATTATTAAATTTTACATTTGTTTTTTAATATTATCACTCGAACAATATTGTCTTATATTATAATGTTGTGCAATTCGAAACGTGCCATATCGAAGCATAATATTATGTTTTCACGGAAGTGCCACTTGCAATGATAAGTATACTGGTAAATTATAATAACAATGACACATATTTTGTAGAGTCTATATAAAATTATAAATGTATAGTCTGATGTAAGTTTTCGATATTATCCAGATGTCCTTAGTTAAAATATGATAATATCTGGCTAATTTTAACTTAATACCATTATTCGTCTAACGCTTAATATCAAAACTTAGCCAATGATTTCTTATTTGTTTAATGTTTAAATTATCCATATGTTATCATTACCATGAGCATACGTGTATATATTAGAATTATATAACATACATATTTCTAAGGAGTTTAATTTACAACGTTTGCATTTTACACCATAACAGTAAACGAGATCACAAGTTTACGGAACGGACGCGAATGAAGAGAATATATTTGTTCGTGAGGCAGTGAGAAGGAAAGGTATCCCTCTCTTATTAATGATATCTCCGGAGAATAGGATTATTTAAATGGGAATTAAGTCTCGGCCCCATCACATACTATATTTTCGTGGAAGTACGGAATGTATTGCGCAATAAGAAATGAAAATAGTTTTTGTGGGCAATAAAAGTTTTGCGAGTGTTTATTTTATTTTTTTTTCACATATTATATACCGAGTAAAACGATTTAAGTCGGGATGTTAAGGGGTTTTTGCAAAGTGTAGAGGTTTTTTTTCTTCGTTAGGTGTGTTTCATTAGTGACACACTGAAAGGAAAAAGTAACTACGTAGGTACCTACTTTCGTACGTATCCTGACAGATGGATTGAAAGGCCAGAAGAACGGTCTTCCTTTTGGTCAGTGGCACTGAACCCCAAAATTAGATTTGTACATCCGACGGTCTATTATACCACAAGACATAGAGGAAGTTACTGGGCCTTCTCACGCGTTTGCACCCGATTTCATTTATCTCTGTCTATTTCACACGCGTTTTGACGCGTCTGCGAAGCCGCAATAATACTACACACTTTATATTATTATATTAATTTAAAGTGTCACAGTCTTATTTTACTGCGGTTTTCGTCGATATTTTTCTCTCGTAATCAGACGCTTCATATTGAATGACAATTCTGTACCTATACACTTTACACTTATATACTAGGTATGTAACTCTAGTTCTATTATCTGACAGCGATAGTATTATAATGAAACAAAACGATATTTTTTATTATTCAAAATAGTGATTTTTAACTATTTACTTTGGCTATATAGATAACCGATAAATATTGTTTTTTGTTAAAGTAACTTCATATTAAGGATTTAGGGTTTCTATATAGGTGAATCGAAATGATTCAAGTTATAATAATTTTACTTAACCTTCAATACAAATTTTAATGAGTTGTTGTGCTGTTGGGGTTTGGTGAATTTTTAACTTTGAACATTCTAACAAATAGAGACCCACTTTCAAATGAAGCTAGAGTGATGACAATGTGTACATGTATTCGTTAGTGTCAAGGATATTTTTTCAGGAGTTTAAATTTTTTTATGCTTAAAATTCACTAATTTTTTTTAAGTATAGTACAGTAAAGTGTTTCAATAACCAGATATGCGGAGAAAAAATTCGATGTATTGACGGAGCACTGCTACTGCGTCAAAGTTAGATATACAAATTTTAAAATTTTAAAAAAATTTAAAACTCATTTGTTTTGTCCGCCATAAATCTTGTTTTCTAAAATTTAATTTTTAAAACCTAGTTAAAATGATTATATTAAATAACCGATTTAACGTGGTGTTTAAATCTTAAACTTAAATAATAAAATTAGCTGAATAATATTAATTTAAATAAAAACCAAATTGCATTTTCTTCGTCAAAAATATTACGCGAGCATAAGCATAAAACCCAAAAATTATTATAAAACCATAATAAACATGCCAAAGTTATTCATTGTATAAAACTGCTGCTAATAACAACAATGTACGTTTATAGCGAGCAAATAAAACATACTTATCGTAATATTAACGTATAAGTTCTGACTCGTTACGCGCGTTAATATTATATATGCACATTGTGTTTTATTTTTATTATCCTGTAACTTATTTTTGTTATGTTCTGGTAAGTATATAGTGGAGTGCATTTGGACACCTTGTATACAAAGTTAAATAATCCATTAAATTTCAAAGTTTAAAGGCAGACACGTTTCTTTTATATACCTACGAGTATTTTATACATACAAGTGGAATAAACTACTTAAAGTAGTAAGGATATGGTCTTATTTAAAACCAAAAAACCATTTAATTTCCACGTTCCAAATTTTTCTCCCACGTTTAAAATACCCCTCTTCAAAAATTCCCCATTTTAAACTATTCCGATTCATAAATGATTAAATAATAAACAAACATAATAAGAAGAAGAATATATCATAGGAAAAAGTCTAATATAAAGTGGTTGTTGTAAAACGAATATAATTAAGAGGATTGTACAGGCGAAAAACGCTTTGCGAGATAAAAGCCAATACTCCTTACTAAAAATAGTTTTAGCTTGTATGTTAAGAAGAAATGTTTAAAGATTTATTTATAGGGCGTGGCATTTTTGGTAGTGAAACCTGGACAAACAGCCATTACCTCGGCTGAAAAAGTAAACTGGAGGTCCTTGATTATAGTGTTTGAGTAGAATACTAAAAATATCATGGATTGAAAAATGTATAAGTGAAGAGGTTTTAAACAGAATGAAGGAATAAAAGCAAATATAGAAATGTATTCAACCAAGGAGAGATAATATGATAAGATATACCCTAAGACATTAAAGTTTAGTAAAAACGATAATTGAAAGGGATGTTAAAAAAATGTATAGGAAGAGCATGACCAAGGATAGATTATGTAATTCAAATAATAATGAATACAAGGGAAAATACAAGGTCCTAAAAAATTAAAGCTACAACAGAAAATACAAAGAACTACGAGGTCTACTATCAGTTTGTAGTACTCATAGTTGGTCAATCATTAACTATTCTAAGAATTAAGATGATAAAAAGAAGAAATATCCATATTTAAAATATCACCATTAAAATTACCATTTAAACAAAATAATTTATTCATTTTAGACTCTAAATGGAGCAAAGTGATTTATAGTTTTACAAAAATATTTGCCTTCTTTTTTTATATGGACAACTTTTCTACCAGAAATTTCGCTCCATTTCATAATGATAGCAAATTTTCTAAACGGAAATTTGACCGTAGAAGTACTTTAAAGAGGAATTGTTTGATTTTTTTTTTTCACTTATTGGGAAAACTCCTGGGAAAAACGTAGAAAAAACAAAAAGACAGATACATTATTAAACAAATATCATTAAAGAAAATATATAATGCATAACTATTTTATCATAATGTGACAAATATATTGTTTACAAAGCAGCAAATTTAAACGAACTCGCTCAGAATACTCCCATCAAAAGTGACGCTTACAGGGAGTAGATATCAATATTTAAACCATCATTAATTGATAGTTTAAACGTAATTACGTATTTGTAATATAAATTTAAATATTTTGATGTAAATAAATAAATAAAAAAAAAGAATCGTTTTTCGTTAGCAATGTTTAATTGTAGCATACAGATATACATTAACTTTGTCTTCTACCTTCTCAAATTCTCAGCTATAACAATGGCCTACCTATGTGTAAAATAAGTCCAGCTTTTTAGCGTTGTATAGTCAAAACAGAGACCTTGTAATCATAAAATCCGTCTATCACAAATGTATAACCCCGCTATCTTTCCGTCGATTCTGATGATATTCTACAGACCACAATGTCTTATGCAAACTATCGTACAATTTTAAAATGAAATTACAAAAAAGGATTATAATAATTTAGGTTTAGTTTTGTATAGCTTTGTACAGAAATAATATTTTGTGTATTGGGATATTTTTAATAGCAATATTTTCAATGCTAAGTATATTTCTAAAGGATCTATTTAAGAAGGCGCAATTCCGAACACTACGAGTGCAGAGACTTCTATAATGACCACTAAGTTAACGAAATTTCTGAACATAACTAGCGAAAAAAAAAAAAAGTGCTTTCTCGAAATATTTAGATCTGCTACGAAAAATAACCAATAGTCAGAGTATGGATAATATGTATGTTGAAAATTAATAATAATTATATCTGTCAATTTAATGCAGTGAAGACTCTTATATAATAACATTAAAAATATACAAAAAATGCAATCAAATATGCATTAAAAGTCTCAAAGAATGGCATATAAAATGCACTTAAAATGGTTTTTAATTTAATTTTTATAATTATTTTGATATAACTAATATTATTGATATCGATGTATCGAAAACCCACAAATAATTAATCTGAGAAATATTACCTTATTTTATCGAATCCTTGTATTTATCTAATCCGTTAAAGCTTGTGTAAATATTGTTTTATAAAATATAAATTTAACGTATTTATAATCTGTGTAAAATTAAAAATATGTATGTAAAGATGTTAATTGACGAAATTTGATTAAAAATTAACTAAATAAAAAATATAACTCAAAAAGTCCAAAAAATTAACTTAAAAATTAAAAATGTTAAATAATGCAAAATAAAAGTTTCATAAATTAATTTATTAGTATACTTAGAAAACTATGATTCTCAATCAACTAAAAAAATGCACTTTCCTACAAATTCATAGCCCTATTATTAATTATACTCATCGGTGAGTAGAAAAAATATTTTATATACTTGTATTTATTTTAAATGTCGGTAATAATTCATTCGTAGATAGAAAAAAAAACACATTATTTTTTATAGTATTGTGATTTGCAACCCTTGACAAAGTAAATTTATTTAATTGGTTTCTTAAAGTACTGAATTTTTTCACAAAGAAAATATAATATTTGTTGGGGCAGTGCTACAATCTACGATCCAATCTTCAGAACGGAATCATTAAGGCGAATACATTTTCTTTTAAAACAGATTTGTTGAAAGAAATAAAAACAACTTTAATATTTCTTAATTTATGTTCTTTAAATTACCAAAATAATAATAAAAAGAAAAAAATTATTTTTTTATTTCTAATATTGTTTAATCGGAGATAAATATTTTTTTGAAGATTTCCTCTGGGAAATGTTTGAAATCCGAAATGAATAAAAGCTACGAACCGTGTTTTGTGTTTTTATTATATTATTTAAAATAAACATAATAAATCAATTTTATTAACTAACATAATCTACAAATATGTATCCACGGTGCTGTATTTTGTATTGTATGTGTGTAAACGAGTTTAGTCGAAATAAACATTGTACCCATGTTGTAAACGTATAATTAAAATATTACAGTAATCAATCTATCTTGTTTTCATGAAACACTGACGGCAACAATATGAAAAATTCTAATTTCCCTTCCCCCCCTCCCCCAAAAAAATTATTATTAAATATTATAAAATATTATTGACGGATTAGGCGATAGTATTATTAGCGTGTGTAGTGGTGGCAGTAGGAAAAATTTCTCTCGGACATTTTCCGCATGTCAAAAATAAATATCTAACCCTTCCGCGGAATACGAAATGTTTGGTTAGCCATATTTTTCACCAAAAATATACGTGCACTACCTAATTCATGATACGAAACATAAATTACGTGTACCTGTAACTGATTACCTGTAACTATATTTTATTGAACGATGAACCTGCAGGACGGGACAATAAATCATTATCCATTTACAAATGAAATATTATTATACGGTTACTATTGTTAAACATTTTTTATTTATTTATTTTTTTAATTAATTTAAATTTAAAATATACCGAATTGATTTAACTATGAAATAAATTTAATTTTAATAAACATCATATGTGTCGAAAAATTGTAGGCGAAATATGTTTTTTTAAGATTTTTTTCAAAATTTTAACATTAACCACTTAAGACCAGACATAGCTAAAAAATATCTATGTATGTATTATAACATTGATAAATAATTAAAAATCGTTAGAATGTTTTGAAAATTGCATTGCGTTTAGACTTGGCTGTCAAATAAGCATGTGGTGATAATGTCAGGTATCTACTATTATTTTTAATGGAATTACAAAAACAAAAAAATTACAGAAATCGTTATTGCGTTTTAGATACGTATTCCCGTTTTTTCAACGTTTATTCCCAAATCATTAAGAGAACTGCTTATAAAAAAAATGTTCACTATCAACAAAGTACACACATTATAATTTTGCCAACAAATTCCACGCTACGTTCAGAAAAATTCTCGGTTCTCTGTTTAGGTTTCCAAATAATGTATGATACCTTAAATCACCGTTATGCCCGTCCGTTCTTAGTTACGGTTGTAGATTTGGTCGACAACGTGATATATTACACTATCGTAACATTATTACTATTATTAATATTAATTTAAGTATTGTAATCATTATATTGTATTTAAATATCCTTTCATACAAGCCAATATTAAACATATAAAGTATGAATAAAAGTGGTACTTAATAATTGTATATTGAACTATAATTTATTGTTTAAAATACTCTCAAAAACCATGAACATAACTCGTAGACAGGGCTTTTAAAACTTGTTATGAGTTTTCACAACAAGTTATTCTAACATTGTTATTATAATTACGATTGTTATTAATTTAAATATGACTGCATACATAAAAATGCATACTAATCAATATAAAAAAAAAATAATAGATACCAAAATATAAATGTTTACTTACTTTAAGAATTGTATAAATTTCCTGTCGTATGATTAAACATTAATATATTTATTTCATTTAAGTTTCACCGCATCAGTATAATATACTAGGTTACCGAATTCGTTTAAAATTCTGTAGGGCATTATTGTTTGTTGTTCAAATTTGGTACGTTTAGAAACCGGGATCTTTGCACACTTAAAACTTAAAATGAGCTTTCTTAATTTGTTTTTGTTTTTATCAGTAATAGCAAATTTAAATTGAATATTTTTTAGATTATGTAGGTACATAACCTTGTAACACCTAAATTTGTTTGTTTTTCTGAATATTTTTCGTGTAGGTATCTATATTGGATATTGAAAAAAAATAATTTCGTTAAAAGTGTTTATTTATCCGTAAAACTGTTTATAGATATTCGATATTAATATTATTATTGAACAAATAAAGTTAGTATTATTATGACACTATTCGAATAAAATTTTTTTGAAATGTGGGACAATTATTATAGGGATAAGCAATACGGTGAAACTTTGGAGTGGGTAGAGATAATTGTCAAAAACATATCTCTATATTTAGTTTTTAATCATTTCTCAATATAATATATAATATCGACTTAAAGTTTTAACGATTATATGAATATAGAATATTCTGTGTGACGTTGGATATACATATTACTCGTGGTTTATACGTAAATATTAAATAAACTTAAATTACTGTCTAGATATCAAACTCAAAACTCGGTTTACTTTTAAAAAATTAAAACAAACTTATAAACAAAATTAAGTTATATAATTGTAATGTACAGTGGTTTAAATTTTAAAAATGAAATTTAATTTATTACACCCTGAAAATATAATTATTTCAGACAACTACTTTTAAAATCGATAAGTAGTAAATATTTTTTTTCAATTATGGTTCTAAAAAAATACATTTTTTTTATAATTATAAGCACTTCAAAAAAAATATTGAACGTTGTGTCTAATAACCGTTATTTTCAACCTTTTTGGTGCATAGAAAGGAAGTGTCTTATTATTTGTCTCATATCACTTCCACTTTTTAAGGGTTGTCCTTATTTTTAAACATTAATATTTTTGATGCAGGACACTCCCTATTTGTTTATTAGCATGTAAAAGTAAATAGAATCTATGTTAAAATTTGTCAAGAAGGTAGTTTAGTGGTTTTTGTTCATTTAATTCAACAACCATTGTACTGATCGTAAAAAAATATAAAACTTATTCATAGTCAGGGGCAGATCTAAAAACCTGAAATAGGAATGGAGGGCTAATTTGTATTTACAGAAAAACAAAATATATAATTTTAGTAAATACATAAGTATATTAGTTATAAATTTATAATACTCGTATATTTTAAAATGATAAAATATGAAAAATGAATAAGTTCATTAGTTTTGATCAATCTTCAATTTTCATTGAGTATTTCTTTATTTCATCAAGTTGTTTATTAAGAAATAAATCAATATCATAAGCATTCATATTCAAAGGCTAAATATCCAAATAAATTAAAGCAATAGATAAATGTGTTAAAATGTAAATAAGTAATAATGTTTAATGTTACCGATTAATTACTAATTGTAGGGGAACTTGTTTTATTTTGAATAATTATTTTATTCTATGTCTTATGTAAATTCAGTTAATGCCGATTTCATATTTTCTTCTCCTCAATTAAGCTAAATAAAATGTGCCAAAATCAAATTTAGCATCAAACCGTATTGCATAGAAAAATTGTATTTAAAAGGCAAACATTTTTCTTTCTTAGATCGGAATTTAATACTTACTGTTTTCCCAACAGATTCGTCTTTATTTGCTTTCAATTGTTTTCAAAAATATGAAAATATAGATTTAGTTTTCCTTTTATTTTCTTCCATATAATGCTTGATTCGGATATAATTATATAAAATTACGTGTACTTACGCTAACTCATCGAAAATCTTATAAATTATAATACAAAACAGCAAAAATATCGGCTGATAACAGCACGACGATTGTAATAGAAATAGATTAGAAGTGAATCTTGGTATCGTCAACGCTGAACTGTTAGACTAATCGGCTCGCTATGAGCTATATAGAGATGATAGTAGTTCTAGATAGTTCGATAACATTCCAGATTAGATACCGGGCATTTATATCGAGCAATCGTTGTTCAAACAGCAATAATTATACTTGCATTTTAAACGTATACCTAGAGATGTATACCTAAAACTCCCCTCTTTGGATCAGCACCTGTTTCGTAGTTATTTATAATATCTGTATAATTTAATATCACATCATTTCTTGTTGAAATGAAATTACACTTATCACCCGGACCGGATATTAAAGTTATTAAATGGTTAGAGAATGAAAGGAAAATGATTAAAATAACAAATATATCTGTATGGAACTCAAATAAAAAAAAATATTTTGCCACCAGTAAGCCAAGACGTTTTGTCATTTTTTTTGAAAATTATTACAGAAAAGCAAAGAGAAAACTATAAAGAATGTCTGGAATAAGTTATTTTAACTTGGTGAAATTCCACCGAGTGGTATAAAAGTCCGGTAGTCTAGTGCGTATCATCAAGCGTCACCGCATAAATAATGCTTTACAACTTTCCCTATCTAAACTTAAAAGTGGAATATCTCATCAACGGATTGACGAAAATTGAAAATTTTACCACCTAAATATATTTAAATTAAAATTTAATTTATTTATGGGATTTATTAAAGACCTTAAAGTTTCAATTTGAAAATTAAATATGGATTTTGGTTTCACTTTAAATAATAAGAATGACGACGAATAACGGTCATATAACATTTTAAAACTGTTTGGTTCGTAAATTCACCAGAAAATAAATTTCCGATAAAAGTTAATACTTTCCGAGATTTTTATCGAGTATTAATCATCATGTATAAAAACATGTTTACCCAACCGTCCAAACACGTCATCACGAATGTCAACTTACTCGACGAAAATTCGATCCGGACTAATAGAACGTATTCCGCATAGGCATACACGAAATATAAATCGACAGCCATTTAACGTATACTTGACCGCAGACTCTCGCAGTTGGCAGTAAATTGATATTCATTTCCATCAATTCAGTGGTTACGACGACGTTATCACATCAATAACGACGGGGTAACCTCGTGATTCCCGTTTTGTCGACATCGCGGTAAATTTAATAAACATCCGAGAACGTGACGCAATATTATACGCACAATAAATAATGCATTAAAACGGTGTAGGCATATTTTTACATAGGTGTAAGGAACAAAACTAAACGAATAAACCTATTTAGTGTTCGCGCGTGATGATTGAACGAGATACTCGTATTTCGGCATGGAGATACTGCCAGATCGGATCGAATTCTCGTCGTCCACTTGATCAACCGTAATTGATGAGTGTTAAGTATTGTTATGTTACAAATGTAATATAATATTCGAATGTTTTAATTGACAGTCTTCATCACGGTTTGGTTTGTTTTTATTAGACTCCTGAATGCGGCTTTAGATCTAGCCGAATAGCAGGGCTAGAAACCGTTATCAAAATTCTCGATTATCGCAATTGTGAAAAAGGTTTTAAATTTCATAGTGTGACCCAATAGTACCAATGGCGCCGAAGTTCTATAATTAATTCGGGTGAAATACGTTTCAGGAGGTCCCAATCACTAAACACAATCAATTTCATATCTGAAATTATGATCAGAATAGGTTTTTATTTTTGTAATGAAGTATTCATTTAGTTTGGCGACCAAACTACACATCAAAATGAAGTGGCCTTATGTTTAATTTTAAAAAAAAATTCAAGCAAAGGCCCGACCTCAACATTGAGTTCGGTGCCACTAGTATGCACTATGCATCTATATCTTCAAGGGAGTTAACATCTCGTGTCATGAATCTTTCGATTCATGTGTTTTGAACTCGATACGTTCCTTTTGGCTTTTTGTTGCATGAAAATTAATTTATAGCAGTCGTTCTACTAACATTATCACTAAAACTATTACCGCTCATAATCCAACTGCCTCGGTGTCTTTCATGTATCTACGTAAAAACTCGTAAATTGTATTTATCACTCTTAATATTATCTGCTATCTTTATGATTATAATATTATAATATTGGTGTAGTTATAGGAATTTGCCTAATTTTTTAGATTCCCCACCCAATTATAGCCCAAGTCAGATAGATCAAGCAGCAGCATAGTTAAGTAAAACCCGGGGTTTTCCGTTATTGGATATTTTAACATGTAAACAAACCAATGGCTGTCACAAAGCATTAAAAGAAATTAAATCGATAATTCGTAGGTAACACGTAGCGGTTATTTCTGTACATCGGTATTCGATAAGTGATTTTCAAACAGTTAATTTATTTTATAATTTTATAAAGTTTTATGTTAACTAAAAAATCGTCATAGTAACCAGTAAAATGGAATGAACTATTCAGAAGAGAGTATTTCACACGAAATTACGTCTTGAGAACCCTGATTTAATTTAAAAAGAGGTTAAGTTCAGAACAAAGAACCAACTTTAATTCTACAACGAAGAAAGAATAAGTGCCAACGTGCCAAGTGGGCGCGAAGTTATACAAGTTAAAGTTCCCTCAAACTCATTCACAAAAATATACGTTTATAACAAATTATATTGTTTAACATTGACAAGATTTCTTGTGAAGAAAGGGTAAAATAATTATTACTACTTACTCGACTATACAATGTTAGTTTGACCACATCGCAATTGGTTACTATTGATTTACTATTGATTTTAACGGCGGAATCGTTAAAACTTATTGTGAACCATCTTAATGTTTTTAAGTTGTTTACGACTATTAGTAACAATATAGTGTTGAAACCTACGACTTTTTATCACGCGTAGATTTTTTTTTAATACACATTTCACCAAATTTAGCAGATCGGTCAACCTGAAACAAATACTAATAAATAAAAACTAAAGCAAATACTTTAATTTTTTAAGCAGTTTTCATATAAATTGAGAAAACCCGAAAAAAAGAGAACACGAAAACTGACAAATTTACGACGTTAAGATTTAGTCATTTTGAATGCTTATTTTTATGTCTTCGACCAGAAATAATCTAATTGAAAAACTATAAGAGACCTTATTTGTTGCTTTTTGGACCTTGTTGGTGATTATGAAAGTCGTTATTTAATCTAATGTGTAGTTTTTTTTAATAATTGAGTAAAATTAGAAAAAAACATAGAAAGAACGGGAAAGTTTACGGGAAAAATTATTTCATTATTGATTCATTATTTCGTTTTTTTATTATAATTCAATTAAAAATATTCTTAGAGACTTGACATTTTTACAGAAAACCTATATTTTCCTTTTCTAGACGTAGTAAAATTTTAAAAACATTTTGACGATTTTTGAGTTATTTATATGCATTTTATGTTTATCAGTTTTTTACATAGGTAGTTTTTATTTGGTAGATACTATGTAAATATAATTATTCGACCAAATAGAAATGCTTAAAAATTGAACACTATGTTCATTATAAATTGTTTCTACTTAGTAGTAAAAAAATTGTTTTTTTTTTATTACGGTTTTAAGATCAAATTTTACAGTGGATTATAAATTACACAATAAAAGGTTTAGTAGGTACTTATCATTTTTATAATCATCGAAGATATTCATTGACGAATGAAACTATATAAAGTTCTTATCACTATAATATCGAGAATAATGTTCTATTAACTTTTGGCAATTTCATTCTTGATATTATGTATCGCGGGTATGAATTGTTTTTAAGAGTTTTATCACGACAGTGCGTAGGTGTAAAATCATAAAAATTTCGTACGATTTGAAAAACGCCAAGGTCGAAGTGAAATATCATTTGACGATACATAAATATACAAAATAAAGAAATATACATTAATATATATACATCATAATGCAATTTATACAATATGTAGGTAAGTTAAAAATATAATAGTAAGCCGATATAACTTTTTTTTTCCAATTTTTGCGACCGTTAAAAAACCGATATCCGATCCGATATTTAAAATCGAACACCATGAGTTGTTGACAATGAAATTAACCGAATTGAAAACCCGATTTTATAAAAAAAAAAAGCATTGAAAGGCCTTTTTTTTATATTCCAGAAGCATATTATAAACATTTTTTTCTGAAAATATCGGCACATACCGATACCCACTACTAGTTGTTTAATATATATTATATATGTCACAAAAATATTATTTATAATCATCGTTATGTTATCCAGTTGGTTGGCTCGTAAGTTGTCGCTAGTTCTATAAATTCGTATAATATATTATAATAATAATAAAAAAAAAATAATAATAATCATCTGTTGGACGGCCATATAGGACAGGTCATCGCGGTCAAATCTAAATCACCGGCCACTGTTTAGGGGCAGTTAAAAATATGATCCGATCGATTGGTATACTGCATAATAATGGAGGAAGGCTGCGGTGACGAGGTTGGGGTTCGTTTCGTACTACGGACACGCCAGATGTGCTGAAAATAGAATGACAAATCGAGGATTAGGTTTTGGCAAGTGTGCGCAAAGCCTTACTGATCGCACAAACTGCTGCAGGTAACCCGCAGCGTATATTTATGTATTATAGTATAATATGCGGATTTACCGTCACTTGGAAGAAAATGTCAAACGACAGTAGTATACAGAGTGATCAGCGCATAATTTAAGAGATTTTAACATTATCTCGGAAACTATTAACTTTTTTTTTCAAAATTAGTATTTTAGAACATTTATGTAACAATAACACATCTAAAATGTTTAAAAACCGTTTGTCACCCTTATTTTAAGGAATAAAACTATTACCCACTTTTAATTTTAAAATTTAAACCTGTATTAAAAATTCCATAAATAGCTGCTTAAAATAAATGATAAGGATCAATTAATTCTAGGGTTAATAAGAATCTAAACACTTATTAGATATTTATGCATATGACATTTTTCAGCTTGTCAGTAATAAAAATATCAATATTGATTACAAAATAGAATAGTAAATTAATAAATAAAACATGCAATGTCAAAAAAATAGACATAATAATTAAAATATAAAATTACTTAGAATCAAAATAAATAAATTAATAACAGTGTTGATAATAATAATAATAATAACGACATTAAAAGCGGTAATTATAGTAAGTGGGTAATAAGTAAGGAAATATTACAGACGTATGGTGAGTTCGTCTAGCCATTTGGCTGCTACAGGGCTGTCCTCGTACAGTTGGACTGACCCTCCTTCAAACTTCGTGTTAGTACATGACTAGACTTTATGATTGATGGTTTGTAGATCGCCACATTTGCATAGTGGAGAGTCAGTCATTCCCCATTTATGGAGTAAGTAATTACATCTCCCTTGCTCCGTCCTGATGCGGTTAAGAGCTGTCCATCGGGCACGTGTAAGATCCTATCCAGGTACTATCTGGACACTTAATGTATAATATAATGAAAGAGCGGAGTCAATGGCAATTACGCGGTAACGGGTGACAAAATGAAGGAAGCTGCGGTCACGGGTAGCATGGGATGGGGACTACAATGTTAGTACCAGCACTAGGTCGTGACAGAACCCTTCCTATACACTACTAACGATAAACGAGTTTTGACTAAAATAGAATAAAAAAACAAAAAATACCACCAAAATCTACAGCAATATTATAAAGGGCCGATTTATTTCGTCGGACAAACAGCGTGACGGAGACAGGTCGGGAAAAAAAAATCTTGTATACAAACCTACGCAATTGTAACCGACATCGGTCGTGGATTTAAAATGCATTCGGTAAAAACCGCCGGTCGGGTTTTAAAGGTCTGTCGAAGTCCGTTGTGGTGTTGGACGATTTATAAAAGCCGGACAAATACCGAAACAATCCGACAAAAGTCATATAGACTACAAAGTTAAAGTCGACATTGTAGAATGTTACCCGCGTTTGTATAAGTTATTCATATGTCCGTCTGAGTGAAGCCAAGAATATATTGGTTCTATAAATCCGTGTGTTTTTTGAAGGGAATTTCCACCTCAGAGTGCTTTATTTGAAACTTTTGTCTAGATTCCTTAGAAAAAAATCTGACAAAAACGAATTTAGGATTTTTCAGTGTTGGATTCCCTTGATGAAACAATGGAAAAAACTATAGATTAGTAAAAACCGGTTAAAAGAGTATCACTCAGAATACATTTTTATTATTATTATTATTATTATTTTTTTTTTTTTTTTGTAATGGAACTATTGTCTACTGGACCGGTACCTTAACTATCAACTTAAAATTTAAATAACTGAAAAACATATTTACTACAATACAGAGTGCTAAGTTACTTAAATATTTCATATACATTTTAAAAATTACAAAATCAAAAGCAGTTTGAAATTCTAACTTAAATACGAAATTATAATGTAATCCTGAGCATGTATGTACGACCTATGTACTTAAATGTGTGACACTAATAATGTAAACAAATGTTTGTATGATTACAAAACTTAATTTCTACCGCAAAAAATTTAATTTCCATATTATACATTTTCATCGTTAATGCCAAAAACGTAAAATAATTTTTAGACATGAGGCTTTCAAACTGTAACGTTTTTACTAAAAAATATTTAAAAAAAGTTGATACTGAGGACGGGTGTGTCACCGTTGAAGGAGGGAAATTTGAAAGGTAGGATACATAAAATTATTTAATTTATACGTGTACGCAACGATAAACCATTGTTAACGAAAAACGATTTGGAGAGAAGTTCGGTTATCCGTGTTATGAAAGTCCGTAATATTAACGATTTTCGTCATAATTTGATTTTAAAACTTTTATTATAAAAAAAAACTCGCAAAATTAAAATGTTTATAAATAGTTCAAAAATGGCTCAATGTTTTGAATCTGTTCACGTCTAAAAAAGCAATTATAAGTTTTCTGTCAAAACGTTAAGTCTATGAATTTTTTTAACTGAATCATAACAAAAATTAAAATTTAAAATAATACGTTTCGTAAATTTCCCCGTTTTTCCTACGTTAATTTGTTATGAAAACCGCATGAAAAATCAAAAAATTACTTCCCTAAAGTACCACCTAGATAAAATTTATTTTCAAGAAACATCATATAACTATAACTATAAGTATTCAATGAATTTCCAGTCTTTCATTTTTTAAATAAACAAAATAAAATGTAACAGGAACCGCAATTATGTAAATATAATAGTTACAAGTTTCCCAAATTTTTTCTAGGGTTTTCTCATTAATAAGTATATCTAACAAAGAAAATCAAAAAATAAGCTTATCATTGTTCCAACAAGACTACAATTTTCACAAGAAACCATCACCTTTAACGTTGACGATTGGAACAAAATTTTGGGCAAAGAAATTATTCACATAAAAAAAAAAAAACAAACACATATCATAGTAGAATCTAAAATAAATATTATCTATTATGTAAGCAAAAATTTAACCTGCAATGGGTAGTGTTATTAGTGTTTGTTTTTGGAAATTATGAATAACTGAATTTTAAATATTGGTGTGGGGAGTGTAGAGGCAAAACTCCTCACGAGTCGGGTTGAGTTTAATAATTGGAAGTGACGCTATTTACTAACTGTGTATCTAGGAACCCGACTTTTAGGAATCGATAATAACATGAGAAAGAGTATTACTCCAACTGAAGTGTTCGCTGTTGATAATTGATAATGACGAATAAATGAATATTGAAAATAAAATAATAATCGATCGAGCGTTTTATTACCGCGTGTGTGTTCTCCACTTATCATTATAATGCATTTCGACTGCGATTTCTTATCATGCGTTATTTTTAACGTACGGTAAAGTTATAGTGCACGCGACTGTTTTCAAAATATCGGGCGATATTTTTACGGCGCGACACTCGTGTGTTGTGCTCTATTCATTTCAATGTATTTTAATAAAATGCGCCGTAAAATTACGATACGGTAAAAATGTCACGCGGTACAATAATGCCCGTGTGTTTTCAGTGTAGAGTAATTTTCCCAAGAGTTTTTATAATAAATGGGAAAAATCGTAGTTAAAACGGTAAAATGTACGAAATAATATATTTAGGTTGTGTTTACATAAGTAATGATTAAACTGTGTATCTGAAAATCACACTGGAAAGGAAATCATTAACTGCTTGCTAGTTACCAGCAGCGAAAATTTCAAAATATCGGGACGAGTGATGCTTTCAAGTTATTTATGTGGTAAAATAATTATATTATTTGGTTTTCACGACACTCAGCTTTCATTCCGGTACAAACGCTTCCGGTGACGTTTTTTTTTCTTTTTCTATCTAATATAATAACGTTACATAGGTATATATCAAAATATCACTCTCAAAATTCACATATTTATACGTGCCTAGTTTCACGTGTCGCTATTAAATAACATTACCGAATTGAAATAATAATAACAACAACGATATTGTCGGACATCGTACACGCACTGGACATCGCGTTAATTAATAATTGTCACGAATACCGGAATACTTAGGTGTGCGTATAGGTTTAGCGTTGATGGTTTTATTTTCCGTAAGAGGCGTTTTAAAAAAAACAACATTATTATTGTTTTAGCTACCCTGGTCGAATAACAAACGCGAGCATTATCAGTTTAAGACTCTAAGAGTATTGTACATAATGATATAAAGTATACGTACTTGTCCATGATAATAAATAATTATATCGTCTCTTGTCGCTTTCGGATTAAACTGTACCTAACTATGTATACCCGCAGATTATGTACACTGTACAGGCAAATTCGGATGACGAACTTGAATATTTATGACGACAGCACGTCGTTATAATATTATTGTTGTACGTTTTGTTTTAATTCGTGACCCACGCCTGATAATATAATTATGTATAGAAAATAATATAGGAGAGTACCCGCAAATTCGTTTATAGTAACCACGGTGACAATTTCCCCTACAAATTAAAATCGGTAACAAATAATGAAATTAATTTCGTTTTACAGATCAATAAACGGAATTATTGTTTGTCGTTCAAAATACCTTTAGAAACCGGAAATTTAGCACATTCACAAAATGGGCTTTTCAGTAATTACGCTTTTTAAGAACACGTTTTACGAGAAAAAAAAACGATCAGTTTTATTGCGCTTAGACATAATAACTTACCTACATGCTGTTTTATGTTTTTAAATCCATTCAGAATTAACGTAGCGTAAAGAAAAGTGTGGTACCTACCTATAACAATGATCGGTTGTTGAGCAATTGTTTAGTTTGGTGAAAAATATAATAATATAAAATATTATAGTATACGAGCCTGGTATTATTTATTATTTTAACGCGTTAAATATTGTAATCAAAAAATAACACAAACGCCACTGCGCGTTTTTATTATGTTTTTCTCCCCACGGTCATTTGTCTGCAGTTTTTTTTCACGATTTTCAGTACATTAAACGGGCAGAAAAAATGCCACAAAAAAAAAAAAATAATAAAAAAATAAAAAATTACCTCGGTACATAAAATCGGTAGGTACCTATCGCGGACTGTATTTAATTACCGGATAAGTATGATCGACAGGTCATGTATTTATAACATCGATGATGCATAATAATAATTATTGTTGACTGAAATAAAAATGTAATCGTAATAGAACATACATCATCGCCGTCAGTGGTTATTAAAAAAAAAAATATTATCAATATAATATAACATACTAACAATAAATGATGATTGTTGTATTTTATTATCATAACATCAAACCTACATAGAGTAGTGCAGGATATTTTTAAGGTTTTCCGTTTTAAATGGAGTAGAGTAAAATTCTGCTTACTGTGTGCCTGCTAGTAAATAAATGGTACATGATTTAATTGGTGGATTTTTTTAATAAAATATTTTATTTTATGTAGGACATAATATCACTGTGTGGCGGAAAGTTAAGTGGGTAAAGTCAAAAAGTTAATGTATGATCTATCTGCTCATGAAGCTTTTTTTTAAAGGTATCGGGAGTAGATAAACAGTGGATATTTATAAAAAGTATGCCCTGAAGCAGTCTGTAACATTTTCTAAAGTCAATAATTATTAATATAATAATAACTGTGTAGTTTATAGATTTTGTGCGGAATCTGGTGTTTGTCGATTTTACTAGTACACGTATAATATAATAGTTATAGACGCTCGTTTTGTGTAGGTGTAACAACATTAGTTGATAACACAATACGCGTGAAAGAGACAGACTCATAAGACTCAATTTTTCAATGATTTTATAAATAATTGTATAATAAACCTGGATTAAATAACCTGGATTAATATTAAAATATCATTAGAATTGATTATAGATTCTTATATTATTTGTAAGTATATTTATTGTTGTTATTATCAGAGATTATAGGTACTTTTCTTATTATTGGGTGATACATTCTCCCCTCCCCCACAAATAACTACGGAAAAACAAGAATACTTGTACGTGATATCGCCAGCTTTATTAAAATCGATTTTGTTTGTTCACATTATAATTCTATAAGAATAATAATTCCGGAGACTAAAGATATTTACAAAACATTAAATATGATGCAGTTTTTATAGATGTGGTCGAATTCCAATGTTTCCCCCCCCCATTTCGAGTTGTTTAAAATGTTTGAATTTTTTTCGATTCGTGTCAAACGATTTTGTATTGTTTGTAAATTTAATGCAAGGGTCCTGGATACAGAGTCACCAATTTTGTAGTTGGGGAGTTGGGTATGTAGAATATATAAAGTTGTTTTGTATATATCTAATGGAAAACCATTGCTAAAAAAGTATGATTCTGAGCAAAGTTTGTTTATACACGATTCGTGAGGCCATAATATTTACGATTTTTTTATCCTATCAATGTATGATCTTAAAATAATAATAAAAATAATAAAATTACTACGGTTATATTTTCCGTTTTTCCTATAGATAACAACATGTATAATACATCCGACAACGGCCTAATGTTAAACACTGTCGAAAAATATATATTATATCTGCTGAGGATCAATATGGCTTGGATAAAATTAAATATTTGAATATTGTTACTTTTATTTCTAGGAATTACTATTATTTTTCCCCTTACGCTCAATAAAAAGATATATATATATAAATATATGTATAAACATTATTTTATTTGAAATAGCTGGAGCAGTAATGTCATCGAATAGAACTCAATTTGATCCGGCAAAAAATAATAAATAAGCATTTCATAGTCATACAGATTATAAGTATATTATAAAATACATTTTATAAACGTGAAAAACAAAACGACTTATTTCAATACGTTATTTTTAATATCACGACATCTAATATTTTAGTATGTACTCACGTATTTTAATATACATTTTATTGAATTATAACAATATTGCATCTTCAGGTCAGTTCCATGAGAGGAGGTATCATGAGTGAAATATTAAAATATTTAATAACACAATTTGTTTACAAAATTAGGACTAAGAACTAAAATATAATATATTTTTTGTGATAAACATATTGAACATTATACGGAGCACGAATTGGGGGCAATTGACTCTTTGTCATCCCCTCTGATGTGCCCGAGTAATAAAATTATCATTTTTCGTTATCGTTGAATTGAAAATATAACGTCTTAATTAGTAGTATCTGGGAATATTATATTTTAAATAAATTATCAACAAAGTTTTGGAAACGTTAAGTTTTCAAAATTTCAAAACAAAAGTTTATTCTATAAACTTTTGTTTTGAAATAGAATAAGACAATAATATTAAGATAAATGACTAATATAATTAATACTTCGCACCGCGGGTAGGCCATTGTTTTAAGTGGGAAGTTTGCAGGAATGTGTATAGGTATAGTATACAATTCAGTTTATTTCAACGATAAATCATTTCAAACGGATAAGGATTCTAAGAGGAGCTCGGTATAGTCATGTTTTCCCTTTTTCCACCTGAGATAACCCAGAAATCAACAAAAATAAAACCGATGTGCTGTCATTTGTTTTTAGTATTAAAAATTATGTAGTAAAATTGTTGGAAATCTGTTTAAATTTTTCAAATAAATTATCAATCAACCGAAATTTTGTATTAAAGTATTATGAAATGATAATAATAATGAAAATTCCAGTTTAAGTTAGAGATTTATACTTTAGGTACACAAGTAAAACACGTTGTAAATGTTATTAAATTTTCAACATCCATAATATGAACTTTATACGCTCCGTCCGTGTATATGGATGTGAAAAGTAATTTGTGAAAAACTGAACTTTTCCGAAGTACCGAAACGTCGTAAACTATAAGGATACTATAATAATAGGCGGATACTACACATTTATTTCAAACCGAAACTAATAAATTTCACCGAGAGATTCACGTAGTAGAAAACCTAAAATAACGATGCCTACACGATACATACTAAATATAAATTTGATATTATTAGTTATTACATACATAATATTATAATAATATAATCGCATGCCACACTTACGGGATATTGATTTTCCTACCCGGTAGGCTAGAAATTGTATTGTAATTTATCGGAAGAATAAAATAGACAAATATTCGATTAAAAAAATGACTTAAATGTTACTTATACTATCAGTTCTATGACAAAGTCATAAATATGCTAGGTATTCTTTATTTATATACAGGACGGAATACTATTCAAACGCTCCCAGGCGTCCCACATCTCAAACTGTACTCCATTATCCATACTTAGAAGTGCGATATCTCATCAATGGGTTGACAAGAATTAAAAAATGTCATAACCAAATTAATTAAACCAAAACGTTATCTATTTATGGAATTTTCAATAGAGGTGCATACATTTTTATTCAAAATTAACGGTCAATTGCTTGTTTATTAAATTGTTAAAAAAAAAAAAAAAAACAATTTCGAAAAAAATTAATACTCGATTAATCGGTCATAGTCGTCTATTACAAATCATAAAAAGTTCCGATTCGGGACTAAAAGCGGCATGTTATAAACCGACGATATTGTATCCTATATGGAGTTGTATTTCCAGTATATTATACTTTCGAAAATGTCACCACGTCCGATTGACGACGAGAACACGCGTAGTTATTGTCACCTCGTCAATTTATAACTTTTATGTTCGATTATTATTTATAGGTTATATATATAGACATATATATATACATAGAGGTGGTATGATAATAATAATATAATATTCGACCGCGCGTTCTGTATACAACACAGTAACCGATGATTAATGGCCGGGGCGCGATCGTTTAAAGTGCACACGGGCTCCGGCACTTAATAATATAATATATGACTACCTAAATTATTACACCGGAGATTACGATATGTTAATTATTTTCGCATACGATATAGATGCTCATTATATTATATTAGAACGGGAGAAAAATCTGGATCGTACAACATCGCAGATGCGGTTAAAATTCTCCCGCGTCGATAGCGTTCGCGTCTTTTGGTCGCTAGGCTCCTCTATACTCCATACTCCTCCATTACTATTGATTATAACTGAATAAATCATTTTTGATGTTATTTCATTTTATTTTATCCTATAGTATAAGATTTATGCTGCAGAATGTAAAACATAATCTAAAATAATGTAGTAAAGGAAGAATTTTTTTTTTTAGGGTGGGGGTATTCTTACGCCCTAACCACTTATGTGTGCGCCACTGATCAGTTGTCAATTGTTATGATTAATATCCATATCATGTAACATGGTAGTCTATTGAATATTATAATTAGAGCATGGATATTGTGGTAGTAAAAAACTATTGAAATTGATTGCAATATTGCACTAAAAAAAACTGAAAATTACACTAAAAACGACCAATTTTTTTTACAAAAATGGAAATAGTTGGCTAAATTTTCGGCATATTTACAAAACAATAACAGAACATAATCACTCAAAATTCACGGAGTGACTGAAGAACAGATTATAACAGTCAAACAGTCACATTTCACAAATTATTTTTGTATTGTATTAAATACCTACAAACTTGGAATTATTAAAACAAAACTATGATATTTTTATTAGATTTTATGGCTGACAATATTATAGTATAATCTTATTTATATGATTGTCGAGTGTCGACTATAACTAACATAGTTGTGTAAATGAGTAAATTCAACAAAATTCCAATAAAATTGAAAAATTGCAAAAATTGCAAAACGTTGCACTTAAAACTTCTAGATTTGAATTCGTACTTACATGAAACGCATTTAAAACTTACTTAGCAATAAACTGAAAAGGTAGAAAAAAGTTGAAAATGCAACGACATCCGTGCCCTAATTATAATTATTTACACACCATTTTTCTATAAATTAAAATTTATAAAACTATAAGAAACTATTGATCGTATATGTAAACATGGTAGGTACATTAAAATTTGTATAATAATATCTATTGCAAAGTGACTATTTTTACAATTTTTGTTCAAAGTATGCAAATTAGTGATTAAGGGTTATGAAAATAAAAAAAAAATGAAAATGAAATATTATATAAGAGGTATACAAATCTGTTAAACACGTTGGAACAGTCTGTATAGTAAAAACGTATATAGACGTATAATGCATAGCCTTTGAGCGAATACATTTTTCATCGTTTTGCCTCGAATATTATAATAGCTTGATAGATACTTTTTTCTTTTTTTTTAATCGAAAATAATTATTTCCTTCCTCGACTGTACATAAAGTATATAAAGTATATAAATAGTAGGTATTATAATACATTTTATTCGCGACCAACAATGCAAAATAATATTTCGTCGACAATATGCATTATACGTATTACTATAATATATAATCCTGCATAGTTAATTTAATTGGCCGCATTGCACAAAAACCGACTTAAATCCGCATAGCTCACGGCCGGTTTTGTTAGAGAAATTAACAATTTAGTTTTATTATCGAGAATTTTCGCCTCTACCTCTTCCGTCCACGTACCCACTCGTAGCAATGTTATTTAATTAATAAAAATAACCATGGATATAAATGCAAATACTTGTGTGTGTATAATAATATACGCACAGATATTATCTGTGTCACACACGCATTGCGTGTTAAGGTACGCACACTGCTGCGGTAAACGGTACGGTAAATCAAATAATACATTGTAACAATGTTTTACAGGTATTATATAGTCAGCACAATCAATGGTGAGATAAAAAATATAGGGGAGAAGACGGTAAAAATGGTGAAATATCGTGTTGGAAAGTTTTGGCTAGAACACATTGCTATTTTGTAAGAGGTACCCATTACTAATAATGATAATTCATATAATAAGATATTATTTTTTTTTAGTTAACAAAAAGGCATCCGCTATAGTGGGCATGCTAGGAGAGATTTTTCCCCTTAAAACTTTTTCTTCATAACTCAAAACAATACTATAACATAGAATTAAATATTTTCAAATGTTTATAAAGGCGGCTGATATAAAAGGGGAAGGAAGTTTAAAAATTAACCCACCCATATGTATTTCTTAAAAAAATGATATATATTTATTTAGTTATGCATTATAAAATACACGGAAAAATTACTATAAAAATGTATTTTACCGGTGTTTGGTAAATATCATACGTGCAAGATTTCAAAAATAACGGCACTCATGTTTTCCGGTACGGTGTTTTACCGCAACGTTGATACCTTTGCACATTTAATTACACGAATATTGTGTAAGGTTTTCTTTACCGCACAAAAATAATCGGATTATCATTTACGCGATATAAAAATCCGAAATATATAGCAACCGAATAAGACTTTTTCATTGGTTAATTGCCATTCTATAATCAAAGCGTAATCGCGCTTCTCACATTGCCTCGGTCTTACACTTTTGAAATAAGCATGATTGCATTTTGTTTTAATGATTTATTTAGCCAGTAATATATAAAACCAACGCTAAAGAGATAAATAAAAGTGTTAGAGCTAACTTTACCACTGAATTTTTAGGTAACTTTATTAATTCTGTACCTACACAGTAGGTACACACGCGTATTACTTACCCATTACTTAATTTGGTGCCTAGTGTCTACAAGAAAGTTTAAAATTATGATTGAGTTATTTTAAATAATTAACTGGTATCCAATATATTATCGTAATAAAATTCTAATTTTCAAACGCAAATTTATTATAAAAAACGAAAAACCAAACACATATTCTCCCTACTAAATTCAGTGTATTATTATTTTTTACAATCCTAATTTTTGAATCCTTAACTGTACTATAGTTTTCCTAGTACATATCGACTTTTTTATTGTTATTTAAAATAGTGTTGATAAAAGAAGTTTTATTTATATCCCCATGTGTTAATATACGTATACATATTAAATGAAAATTATGCTATCACCATATTATGTTATTGGAGGAGTTTTTTTTTTAGTGAATATTTTTAGGTTTTTTTAGCCAAAAAAAATAGTCTCAGAAAAATAACCTCCATTTTAAGCCTCTCAAAGTTTAACAACAAAAATATTAAATATACTTATAATATCGTTTTGGGAGACTTGGCTCGCTGAGAAATTAACATTGCACCACGTAGATTCTCGGAGGAATTGATGATCGATCGACGGTTAGGTTAGGTTACTTAAACCTACTATTATAATAACACATATACAGTATCATCAAGAATTTAGTTGTCCTAAACTCGGTCTAAATTATATATAGGTTTATAACGTCGAATTTAGTTATGAATGTTATAATAATATATAGTTCAATTTTAACGGTTCTATAAACCGTACTGTAGCATTATATTGATAAAAAAACAAAAAAACATAATACCAAGTATAATAGCAAGTAAACTACAATGACAAATCGAGTGATTTTAAGAAAAACATTTTAAGTAGAAAACTGCTTCGTTGATTTCGTGCAAACAGATTTCGATTTAACGATTATTTGTATAAACTTTCATCATTGTATTAAAATAATAAATGAAAAAAACCTGAGTTTCGGAATATTTAAGTAAATTATAAAAAAAAAAAAAACGGTAAGATAAAAAATACAAAACGAAAATACATTAATAATACATTTATTATCAAACGAGGATTATTTTAAGATGATTCAGGACGGTGTAGGTACGGGCCTGTTTAAAGTATAAATCTCCGTGATTTAACAATAATACTTGGCTAAACGTCTGTATTTTTGCATATATTTATTTAGCACATTTTTTTTACCAGCCAAATGAGATAAGTTTAATGTTTACGGGACGTCTTTTGAAATACGAGCATCCACCTATTTTCTTAAAGTGCGAAGAATTTTCTGAATATAATATTTATTTTTTTTTATACCCACTACGCACGGAAGAAAATACATCACCCGAAGATTGTACAATATTAAAATATAGATATATCTGGACTTCTGGGGGGAAAAGCCATAATTTTAAAATGCAGGGTGATATTTTTATCCACCGATTTTCTTCAGAGATTTTAAGTGGATTTTATTTCGGTTAGGTAACTATAACTTTATTTTCAAATATTTATCCCTATTCCTTAAATCTTAAAAATTAATAATTGATACAAGTGTTTTTGATTTATTTTTTTAAAAGCAAATCTGAATAGAGAATATTTGTTTAAACAATTTGATAACAGTTTAAAATTTAGACCAAAGAAATGGGGCAGGGGTTATCGTCCAAATATTGATATTATAATTATTATGGTTATTAGTTTAATATATTGGAATCTATGTGTAAAGGCGACGCTACTTATCGTGTTTGCTGTGAACTTAGCTAAACAATGTTCTGGTTATGAATATAAGGTCTGTGGATAATTAATAAAATACAGTATAAAAAAATGGTATTCGCGACATTTGTATGTTTTTGATATTAAATGAATGTAAATATTATCTTTATCTTTTCGAATATTTCTACTGGAAATGTTCAACTTATTTCAGTTAAAATTCTGTTTTAGACATATTTACGATAGAAAATTCATATAACTATTATACTCGTATACATTTTCGCAAATTAAAATACCGTCATAAGAATCTTCCCCGGCTATTACATACGAGGTATGGCTATTAAATAACGAGACTGCTTATGAAAAATGGTTTTATTTTAAAAATTATTCCACAGCCAAATGTTCCCCTTCAATATACTCTCATCCCCTCTTTACACACCGTTTCATTCGTTTCTTCCATTGCTCGAGGCAGTGCTGGAAGTCTGTTTTCGTAAGACCATTCAGGAGTTCCACCGATTTTTGTTTCACCTCTTCTATCGACTCAAACCGGATTCCTTTTAAGGCAGATTTTATCTTCGGAAACAAGTAAAAATCACAGGGTGCCAAGTCGGGTGAGTAAGTCGGTGTTCGAGTACTGGAGTGTCTTAAGCGACCAAATAACGCTTCACAGACAGCGCGTTATGAGCAGGTGCGATATCCTGGTGCAAGATCCACGACTNACAGTTTGACCCTCTGGAACCCATTCAGTCATCACGATGCCGTTGATATCGAAGAAAACGATCAGCATGGTTTTGAATTTGGATTACGACTGAATTGGATTCCGGTGCACTCTCGACCTTCAGAAAATAATTTATGCCACTCAAAAACACGCGCCCGAGATAAGAAATCCTCACTATAGGCCTCTTTTAACAACTTATAGCACTCAGTTGGAGTATTTTTTAGTTTAACGAGAAAATTTTACGTTTATCCGTTGCTCATGTTTTTCGACACACATCGTTTTTGGCAAGAGAAAAAAACACGTTCGTTTCTAAACGCTACAGAAAAAATACTGATGCACCAACAAAAACCCGATTTCGTACTGGCATAATAGACACTTCCAGCTAACCAGCGCTGTATTTGGTTTTCCCCTAACCTTTTTAGGACGCTCTCTGCGCGCGCAGTCTCGTTGTTTAATAGCCTAACCTCGTATATAATAACTATACCGGACACCGGCCACAAGTTGTATTTGTGAGATTTCGATTCGTCGACGATACTTGGTTACTTAATTAATTTTGGCTTGACCGTGTTCGCGTTACTGCTTTGCAGCAACACATCCTCGAATCCTGGATAAGTGTCACCAAAGACGAACGTTTGAAATCACCACATAATGTTCTCCTATAGTTATTTTGGCCAAAGAAATCGTTCACAAATTTTGAAGAATACCTTTTCTGCTCTTACCCGCAGATTTACCAAAATTACTTATTTTAAATATGTAAACGTTATAGTGATGGGAAAAATCCGGATTTATCGGAGACTTTTATTTGCACGTGTTAAGTACTGTTTTAACTGCCCTTTTTGTTTTTTTTTTTTTTTTTTTTTTTTTTTTTTTTAATGGCCAAAACAGTATTATACTGTGAACAACCCATGGTTAACCCCGGGTTACTCACGGACTAGCAGCTAGTAGTAAGTAAAAGGAAGGAAAAACTGAAATAAACTTGTTCATTAGGATAGAATAATTGCAATATAAACACAATATGTTAATTAATTAATTGCAAAGTCAGTAACCGTATAGTATTAGTATAGTTTTAATTATTAATTTATGATGCAGTGCAAATATTTGAGTGAAGTTTTTTTTTAAGGTTAGATAAAATAATACATGAACCTAGAATAATCCTTTAACGCTATATATATATATATACGTTGTCTGCGTGGTTTTTGATAGTTTTTCCCCTGGGTTGTTAACCAGTATACGCGTCAATGAATTCCCTTTAAATGTATAAATACCGCATATTTTAACACAAATATTATTTTTATCGAATTAATAATAAATCCATTTAGCGTTTAACCGCTATCATCATCAGAGTCAAGAACATTGTATTGAAAATCAACAAAACTTGATTTATTATTCGTCTTTTAATAACACATTTGAACACACACTAATTGTTATATTATTTTATTTTTTCTAGGTCAGTATTACTACTTTCAAGTCTCAATGAATTCGGTCGACAATATGGAAAAGTATAATGGTTTGTAACAAAACTGAAAACTGGTAATATTGTTTATTATCACTGTATAGTATAGTACGAAAAATATTGTGCGTGAAATAATATAATGTAGCATATTATTAATAAACCAATAAAAACGATTATCAAACAGAATTTGTCTAGAAAAATACCTCTAGAAAGGTTAGATTAGGTTGGGAAAATATGGGAAAGTTGAATGTGTAATTACTTAGTGAAGGGTTTTAATTGTAAAGAAAAATCAATGGATGTAGAGGGACGTATAGGATTGGACGTGTGATGGGAGGACCTTAGAAGCTTAGAGACCAAAGAAGTAAAAGAAACGTACATAATACATCATGGTACATATGACTGCTATTTTATTAATGTCAATAATACTGCCTCTGCGGCCTCATCCATATTTATTTTGATATATCAATACAGAGTGGTTTTTAGAGGGTATTTTTTTTAAGAGTGTTAACTCTTGTTGAAATGTTTTTTTTTGGACTTGATTTCAATTACACATTATTATTTTTATTATTCGAGGTCAGCGGAGCAGTTTTTTTCTAATTTCACTCTCTAAAACTTTTTTAACGTTTTTACGGAATTTTATTGTCAATTATACAAATACAGAATGTGAAACTAAAAATGTAATATAATATGATACGATTGAAGAAAATTATATTATTCAAATAATTATTGCAGATGACGTCGAAAAATATCTGACAGTAGTTTTCCGAGACTAACATAATATTATAATAACAATGAATTTATTTAATTTTTCTTAAATTCAGATAAAGCGATAATATATCGATAATTTGATTAAGTTTATTGAGTGTTTGATGTATAGTCACATCACAAACATGTCATATTTAGACGATTTTAATAAATTATTTTGAAAATTTTAACGAGCGCGAATGAAATATACATAAAATGTTCACTGTAATAATTTTTAGAACGACTAAAATAATACTATTACTCGAAACTCTATACGTAACTTTTATTGAAAACGAATAAATTCAAGTAATTTTTTTTTAGGAATAATGGTTTCTACGAAATATTGTTTGATACGTTGCATAAACGATTGTCCGATATGATTCTATCCTACCTACCCATTTATGATCAAAACTTCAGTATAAAATTTACGTTTTAAATTGCTGTTGTATTTGCATTATGTTCCTAGTATTCGGAAAAATAAGCAAACCATTGGCGTAACTTGATAATAAGGAGCCCATGTGAAAATTTCCAGACTTATTACCTTATTATCAAGGAGCTAGCTCTTGAAGCTAGTTATGAACCGCAGAGGTTCAGGGCAAGCCCCGAATGCATATCAATGCATCAAAGCGCAGTCCCAGAAACCGCTCCCCAATTCGCCTCGCTCTCTGCCCACGGTTCAGCGATCGTCGGGTGGGTAACCCCTGGCTTTTAACCGCCACCTAATGAAACCACGAGTTCGTCCGAATCCACCTGCACGGCACCGACCACGACCGACACCGGGGCCTCGGTTTGGTGCCGAGCAGAATAGACACCGGGGTTCCGAGAGCCACCCGGACTACTTTTCATATCGTTTGTATAATGTAGTTGTTAACATCCAAATAATGGCGCGAAATTATCGGCTTCGACCACATGCATATCATCGTTAATAATCCGGTTTGATAATAAACGTATTTTGAGAAATAATTTGATAAACGTGAAATACGTTGAAAAAATAAAACGTTTGGCATCAATCGAGTTTTTATTCTCAATTATTATTTAAAGTAAGTATTTTTTATTTGATTAAATTGTCTGTATTGTACAGAATAATATTTCATTAGAATTATCTTTTTACACACAATAATTATTGCCTCATAACCAAAACCGTTAAAGATGACCATTCGGGGCCAATTTTTACGGTGTGAACTGTTATAATGTTAGATAATACTATCAGTTAGGTGCCTTCATTTTAAACCTTGTAATATAAAGTATTATTAACAATTCACTTTATATATTGCTATAATGGACAGAAATTATAAAATAATACAATATTGTGTACATCATTATTATAAGTTAAAAAATAATTTATAGTTTTTAAAAAATAGTTCAGTTTACAATTCTAAAATCACTTTCCGGTAAATAAGGTATGCAAATTTTGTTAAATAAGTAAATAACATTGTGTATACAAGGTTCATTTTAGCTTAATATTCATCTTCAATATGGACTTACTAAGTATCTATTATAATTCATAATTGGGTATGTCTAGTAAGGTCTATCATAATATAAAAACCTATTTTGACTAAATTGTATAATTTTACCCCAGATATGTAATACATTGTCTCGTTTTGGGGTAATGTGTTACAATTTGTTATTTTTAAAGAAGTTTTTAACTTCCAAATATTTTTTTTTACTAGTTATCATAATTATATCAATCATATACATGTGTAAAATGTGTCTAATGGAAACTAAAAATGAATAAATATTTTACTGTACCAGTTCTATGTTAAGTACAAAAAGTCAAAAGCTTATCATATAGCTCCATGCTCCCTTACAGTGAGACAATGTTAATAGACAACAGAAAAATAAAATCTAGCGATTAATACCGATATACGACGATACGTAATGTTAAATGTGACGTTTCTATTCTTTAGCGGTTTTATACTGATAACCTGAATCACGATTATCAATATTTTCCGCTATTTCGTTATAAAAAAAAAAAAAAAATGAGATATGTATTCTTACAAACGTGTAAGGAAAATAGTAGGAATATTATATATGAGATCTCGGGGCCCCCCAAAACCGAGGTCCTCTGTGAATTATACACTGAGCACTCCCGATAATTGCTCCACTGATATAACGACGAAATATTCCTACATGTGTACATATGTTAGCGTCAATAACGTACATTAAATAATGATTTTGATTGGTCAGTTTATAATATAATACCTGGGTGGCCGGGTATGTTGATTAAACATATTTGGTCTAATTATTTGTCTATAATTATTAATTAACATATAATTTTACACGACTTTGAATTGATAAATCAAACAATATCATCTATGGTTTGATAAATTAACTTGTTCCATTCATTAAATTTGTATTTTATTTTTTTTTGAACTCATTCACTCACACAAGCTAAGCTATTTGGAGGGGTATCACTATGCTTATTTTGTAATATTTTGTTTTTATTGTTAAAAATTATTTAATGATGATGGAATAAATAAATAAAAATATGAATTACCAAAAACATTCCAGATTGTCGTAAAGCCATCAATATTGTTATTTGTTAAAAGTTTGGCCATAGGTATTTTTCTACAAAATTGGCCGTTTTTTCACAGTTCATTTCCCTCAAAAAATAAATCTAAATCACCACAAACAAAATAAAAAATTGTCACTCTCCTAATAATTTGCATACTTATAATTTTCATATTCTGGAAAAGAAAAATAATTTTTGTTTTTGGTTTAAACCTAAGGTTCCCAAAAAGGTCTATATACCCAGAGGTTTATTCTGACACGTAAGAAGACAATTATGTCTAAAAAAAAAAAAAATGAGGGGGTGCATGACATGTAAATAGAGGTAATAAATCATATCATATCCACAAAAAAGAGAATAAATTAGTAAGTGGCGTACGAGAAAAAAAAGTTTGGAAACTTCTCGTTTAAACCATATATATATTAATCGGTAATAGTAAGTTAACAATTAAGTTAAATTTTAACTTTAAAAAAAATATGTTTTTTGTTTCACCGATTCATTTGCTAATTGATACGGTGATTTTCAAATATTTACATTATTTTCATTATTTCTGTACTTTAAATTTATCACGAGAATGTCACCGTGCTGAACACTTATATTGATATCATAAACATGCTAAGTACGAAAAACGCTGTTCGTTAGCTGCTGTTGTGACAATAGTACCGATTTCAACGCCTAATTTTGCTGGTTCAAAATTTTCTAGGTAAAAATTTATCTCTTGAGCATTATGCACACGCGTCGAATAAATCAAATTTATTTATTTATCACCATGCGTATAATTTAATAACAACTGCAGAATGAGAGAGTACATTTATTTTTTCGCAACATTAACTCGTTATGAAATTTAAATAGGTTTTTTTTCTTTTTTGTTATCACATATTATACTGATTTTAGTGTTTTACTTATATATTATCGCTGTATAGTAAACCGCATTACACATAAAAACTTGCCCTAAATTGAACATAAAAAATATAAACCGGAGAAAAAATTATGTTAACCAGATGTTATAATACACTATAACCATTATTATTTTTAGTCTTTCAGTTGTGAAATAATTTTTTCATCTGAACAGTGACGTAGCTATATGGATTTAAGTGTCCTGTGGCAAATTCAAATTATGTTCCTTAATTACTAAGTCAATTTTTTTCCTTTTCCAAACTCTAATTATATAGTTTTTCCTTAGGTAATTATTCCTATGATGCAAAACATATAGATGTTTAAAGTGGCTACATAATATGTTTCACTTAAAAATACAATACGCAATACCTATTATACCATTATACCTATTATACTTTAATGACACAACATTAAAAATGACAAATTACAAATCACAATTACAATTATAATTTTGGTACCTTGGTCTAGTATTTCCTTCATAATAGCTATGCATTTGCGTCTAAATGTTACCGTTCGGAAAAAATCAGAACAAATATTTTTAAGACGTTTTTATTTTCATAAATAATTTCAAAACAGAAATAAACATATTGTAATATGCTTGCGAAAATTCTTTTCACGTACTTGGGCAGTATTTCGGACTCTTTCGATATATGAAATGGTCATGTCTAAAATAAAAATAAAAAAAAGAAAGAAAAATGAGAATATACTGAGTTCTATTTTTTTTTCTCGTAACGGCGTATAAACGATTTTATCGGTTCACGAAATCTGCATCGAAGACGAAGTTTTTATTATAATTCAGTGCATACGATATTTGAAATAATGGTGTTAACCTACATTTTACTTACAATGTCAAATATATCCAATAATTTACTCGTGGGTAGCCGAACAAGGCTGCCCACGGAAGGAGAATTTCAAAAAGTCTCATATATACTAATAATATCAAAGACACTTTCCGAAATAATAATTATTTTTGTTTTAATTTTTTTTTGTTTTTACGATTTTAAAACAATGCTAAAAATAAAACAAAAACTATATTTAATAGATAGGTTTTTTTTTTTTTGAATATTCGAATTACCCGAATTATAACACAAGGTATTATGAAAATGCGAATCATCGTTCCATTAACATAAATCTGACAAAGAAAATATTTTAAATGGTTATGAATCTTATCCGAGAAATAAATTGCTTGTTAAGTACACAATTTTTGTTTTGTCAAATATACCTAATAAACTTATTTTGATTTATATCATTGTAGACGATTTATGTTAAGCGTATGATTATTAATATTATTTGATACACTTATTATTAGTACACTCTGTGAGTGTCCCAAAAGGAGAGGGTATATTTTTCCTAACTTTCTGTTTATCTACTGTACACAAGTTATAAAAAGGTTTAAAAAAAAATCAACATCAATGAAAAATACAATAAAAAAGATTTCCTAGGGCCTAACCTAACCTAACCCGTCTCCATTAGCCTAGGACCTAGGCTAATGGAAACGGGTGCAACCACTGTTATAGGTAATTTAATGTTAATCTGTAAGGAACGATAAACCACTGCTAACGAAAAAAACGATTCTCAGTGGAGTTCAGTTGATAGTGATGTTTTGTCAATAATATATGTATACCATATTATAGTAAAATAATTAAATAGGCTCTGTATATTTTCTTGAATAATATTTATTAAATGTTTTACCGATTTTTTCAGTTTTCCCAGTTTTAATATTTGCTGAGTAAACTCTGGAGAAAATGGAAAAACGACTTCTCTAAAGTATCTCCCCAGTTAAGTTTCCTTTCAAAAACCTTGCTATCATTAAAAGTTGGAGCAAAATTTCTGGAAGAAAAGTTGTCCATAGAAAAAAAAATGTAAACACCTTAATAAAACCATAAGCTTCTTTGTTTCACTCAGAATCTACAATAATACGTTTCCCCTGTCCCCTAGACTATTAAATATAGATGCCCGTGATGTACTGAAAAAACATCTGACGGTGATATTGTTCTTTAAACGTATTCTGTCAATGTATAAGGGCATGCAATTAGGCAAAAATACCTAAAAAAAAAAAACGAAACCTCAAAAGTTTACTTTAATAGAAAAAACTTAGTTCTTGAAAATAATTATTATTGCAATAAGATTTTTTTACATTTTTATTCGGTTTTCCAAAACAATTATATTTTGATAAATGGATGAACATTTATTTTTTTTAGTTTCGCATGTTTTTTTCTACATCATGGAGTGACTTTCATATTATTTTATGAAAGTTTTCTCTTTTATCTTTTAAGCGGTACCAATATTCCATATTTTCTACAGTTTTGTAAATATTTAAAATTTTTTTATCATTTCAACGGTGAGACTTTTCCACTTATCTACTGTCAGATGCCCATCATTTCGGAAATAGGGGTAAATCGCCGTTTTTACGGACGAATATGACTGCGGTATTTATAAATTCATTGACAAATTAATACTACTTTATAATGTTCCTTTTTTAATTTATAAACAACAATATTGTACAGTTCATATCGGTATTATTGAACTTCGATTTTTTTACAGGAATTCAAATATAATGGTATAAAAAGTCGGTAAAAAAAATCTATATAAATAATAAATTATAAAAATAAAGATGGAAATATTGAAATACCTCTTCTTATCAAAAACTAAGTATAAAAAAAAGAATAATAATCGTCAAAATCAGGCTATTCAACGAGGCGTAAGAGATTTTTCTGTAGGGTATGTTTTTGAACGAAAAAGTGTACGGCTACCGGGCCATTTAAGTACAAAACGTACGTAAAATATAATGCGGCGTTTCGTTTGGAATACAAATCTCCGGAGAAATTCCTACCCGAGCGTGGTTTTAAGATACATTGAAAGCGAGACATGTATTGTTCAATTTTTTTTTTAATTACTTTTGGTCCCAGCCTACTTAGAACAAAAAACTCCCAATTAAATAAATTTTTCACACTGGCGACTTAAAACGAAAACTAAATAAGTATATATCGTGACTAAAAAAAATTTAGTTTCAACCAAAACCCGTAGATTATATATATTTTTTAATTATCAATTTTACCCACATTGAAATTGATTCGGAACTATAATTTTTTCGATACTCTCTCAGAGTCTACTTATGTGGGTTTTTATTTAAAAAATAATAGGTGTGGTCGAGTAATGTCTTCTTCACGTACGTACACCACGGAATAAGACGCGTACAATTTCGAAAAAATCGCAAATACCGAAAAACGCTGTGGTATAAAAATCTTTATAGATTTTTCACGATAGAATATACATACATTATAAATAGATCGAATATCAAGTCTTTATGGTAAAGCAAAATACAATAATATCGCCTGTGGGAATGCACGGTACCGAATAATGTTTTCATTCCGTTTTTATTATTGATGTTTTTTTTTTTTTTTCTGAAAACGTAATAATATTATGTTCGTATAAAATGCTAAAAACAAATATTTTCCGTAAGTATTAACCCAAGCTTGTTTTAGTATAATGTATTATTTACGTGAACCAAATAAGTAAATTATAGCTATGTAGGTATAGAAATCCGAAAAACCTGCGGAAACAAAATTATTAATGTTATCTGAATACAGATTCAGAAAACCCGAAATTGTAAATTTTTTATTTTCAAATTTATTTGCGTGACTCTGGATTTTATTAGATTTGAGATTTACATTTTGGACATTTTTGTCGAATTTTGTACAAGAGTAAAAATGATCCTACTGCATTATGTCTCACTGTGTCTGATATAGTACAATGAGATACTTATTTTTTTTCCTGTTATTTTTGGTCACTTCTAGTGGCTCCCCAAGAGCTCGGGAATTATAATTATTTTTTAGAAATTATATTAAAGTGATGAAAATTGATTTTAATTTCAATATGAATTTTAGCATTATGTTGTTGAGACAGAAAGATTTTTATAGTATATTTTTGGACACCACTTTATTCAGAATGTACTTCCGAATAAATCAAGAGTGATAATATTTTGTAAATGCGTTTCATTCGTGTTAAAGATGTGATTTTTCATGAACTTCAAACCCCGCTCATACCATTTTTACGCTAAAATTTCAACATTTATAATAACTAGTAAGTATATATAGTTTAAAGTATTGTAATATTATACAGAATACTTCTATAATACAAAATAGGTAATACTGGTAACTAAGAGAAAATTTGACTATAGTAGCAGAGCTTTACTGTTCTCTACACACGATTGGATCTGCGTCAGTATAATTTCTAAAATTTCACGTCCTTATCATACATGCCTGTTTCGAATTAATGAATTCCAGTTATTTTCAATTATCATTTTATGTTCATATTAATAATTATCACATATCAATATCAAAATAAAACAAAGTTTAATGTACAATTATTATTTATTAATGGCAATCTTTTATTGTGTGTAACAGTACTACTAGACAATTACGCCTACTCAATTGTACAATTTGTTCTTTTTTAAAGTTTTTTAAATATTCAAAATTCGTATTTTAAATTATATGTAAGTTAAGATGCATCTTAACTATTAATTATTATTTATAGATTACAAGATTAGATATTGTATATTATACTAATATAGTGCACAACCATCTACTTCCTTTCCTTCACCTTCATCAAAACTATTTGGGATCAGTGATTCTCGTTCTAAACCTCCATTTGATTCGATCTTCCACCTAGCATACTTCAAATTTCATTCTCAATAGCATCCAATTACCTATTTTTCGTTATTACCGTACCCCTCTTTCTTCCTACGGTTATTTTCATTACATTTTTTACTACATCAGGGTTTTGTCTCTTCATAACATACCCAAACCACCAAACCACCAAACCGCCAAACCATTTCAGTCTATTTTTTCTAATTTTGTTTATTATCGAAACCACGCTGTATGTATTCATTCATAGGATAGTCCTATATTCTCTCGTCACTCCACTTCTTCAATATTTATTTTAATACTAATGTATGATAATATGATCCTATCGCTAAACTGATAAAGAATCAATTTGGTCAAAAAACGTCTAAGACTACGCTCATGCATGATAAGAACGTAAACAAAATTATTCTGGAGCAGATCTAACTATCCTCTTATTGAGGTATTTTTTTTTATATTAAAATCACCCAGTGAGTTGGTCAAATAAATAGTTTTTCCGTGGTAATAATTTATGGTTATAATAATTATTATAAATATTAAAGAAGAATGAGAGGGTGATATGCCTCTAATCCTCTTGTTTGACGGCCCCTGAAATCATAGTAACGTCTTTTAGGTTAACGTTTAAAAATATTTCAAAAATTACAAAATCTTAAAAATAAATAATTATTACCGGGTTACCACAGTAATATATATATTATACAGATTGTAGATAAAGTTTAGGGGTTCTATAGTAAAAGATTTAATTCCGAACACGTACGGTTTTTTTTATGCTGTCTATATAGATCGCGTTTCGGATTTTCGTCGTTTAGGTTCGTATATATAATTCCTACCAACGCGTTTCCTTTTTTTTTTTCATTCGACGACCGGTGTAAATAATTTAACGGAACCCAGTCGAATCGCGTTAATAGGATGTGTGCACATTACAATAATTATTTATTAACGCGCATCGATGGATTTCCATTACCGCATATTTTCATCGTTTTGCAGTGCACTTTTTGAAATTAATTCGAGTACCTAATCATTCGAACGAAAATGAAATTTTAAACTCGAATGACGACGAAACGATCAAGATGAAGACGGACGCGTATACTTGTATTTCTACGAGTTCTACACCAGGATTATTGAGGAGGTTTTTATGTTTTCAGTAAGACATATAATTAAATCCATTGAACACCACTAGAAATAGATTTTGCTTAATGTGTATCCACAAGAAAATAAATGGTAAATTATTGAATTGGTAAATTTTGTTATAAAATATTTACTCATACTGGTGTTGACAGGAGGGGTAACTGAGGAACATTCATAAGCTAAAGAGAAGATTCGGTCTATCCACTCGTAGAGCTATTTTTAAGAAAGGAGTAGATATGTAAAGGATATTTACTAAAAAAAAAAATGACCAGTTCTACACGTGCTGGTATCTATAGTTTAAATGAAACGTTTTTTTTTCTAGATTCCTAAGAGGTTTTCTAAGAACATAAACAACATAGAAGGTATTAGTTTTTTTGAAATTCGGAGATTGTATTCAAATTTATATAGAAACGATTAAAATTCAAACTTTGCCGAAATAAATTATGACTTTCTCAACCTAGTACTAAGTTTGTAATTTTTCAGTTGATTTTAATAAAATTAAAGTTTATAATTTACATAAAATCAATTGCCGTGACACCTTTACAAGTATACCACATAAATTATAAAAGCCTATTAGAGAGTAAATACTTCTACGTGGCTAGTATATTACGGTTGTGTGGTTTATGTTGTAATCTATATAATATATATTTTAAAAGTCTATTACAATAAAATATAATATATTGCACGTATACCAGTATACCGTGTATAGGTGTTACCTATATAACTGCCACTTAAGCGTTTTGTAATTAACTATAATATCGAATAAATTTGACTTAAAACAAAATATTAATATACAATCTACGTGCGTGACGAGGCTTTCGTAGGCACAGTGCCAATAATATCAAACTAAATTAATATAAAATAATACACACTTTAACACTTACCTATTACTTTTTAAATATTAATTATAAAAATAAATTTAACAAAAAACGCCCGCTATACACACGTTAAAATAATGGTTCATATTTGTTCAGCGGGTTTATACCTAGGTACACGTAAAAATGTATAATGTTTTGTTCGTATTTCAAAGGAGGTGGCGGTAGGGATAAAAAGGTTAATGGAAATGTCACACGACAAACGCACCGCCGGCAACAGTTTATGTATACTGCAATAATAATGCAATTTTATCGTTAATTTTTATTAATATTATTATAATATAAAAAATACACCTATAGTTATACGCTCCGATCGTATATTAATTAATTTATAATAGTATTAAAGTTTTTAACGGGCGCATATTTGTACGCGTTCAAAAAGCCTCCCATCTAAAAAATAAATGCTAGTGAAATATTAATTGAAATGAAATGTTGTCATTAATTTGTTATAATTGTTACCAGAAATTTCGTGCAGTTGCATGTTCATACTGAGTGTATACACGATCACAAAGGGTTTGGAATGTAGGTATTTCAAGTCAAACTGATTTCATAAACCAAATATTATTTTTGCATGTTGTTGTACATTTGAAAGACATACCTACTTTGTTTTTAACGCAAATAATTTGAATAGATACTTTGTTCATTCTTAGTAATTAAATAATATATATTTTCTTTATACATTTAAATAAGACAATATAAATGAGAATTAATATGTTAATCAATAACTAATAAATAATAAATAATAATTAATTTAAAATTATCATGGACGAATTTTTAATAAGCGAAAATAATTATATTTCTCAATTTGGAAAAATAAAAGTTTTCTAATTATGTTGGAAACATCGTAAGTAGGTATTAATATTATAAAAGAAAAGAAATAATTACGCGGCTCACAATGAATATTATTTAATTATTTTTGGAAAACTAGTACAGATTTTTCAATAATTCAAATACTTAAGTTATAACTGCATATTTTGAAAGTTGTTTTGCATATCGGTGTAACTTTTGTAATTTTCACTTTAAATATTTGACCAGATTTTTATAAAATATATAATTGTACTTTTTTATGTTACCATTTGTGTAAAAAGTTATGGTACAATTTCCAAAATGTTTAGGTTTATTTTGTTGGAGTTATTATTGCATTTAAAACAAATAAAAGTGCTGCTTAAAGATATGTCCGAATGAATAGAAAATTATTTTGCCACGTGTAAATGTAGGAAAATTCAATACCTAGAAGGTTTGTTTTCTTATGACTGGTTGAAATGAAAGAGTTGAACATAACGTCCCAATTTATTTGTATAAAGCGTTTTAAAGTTCTGATGTTGACGTAACTCGCATTAAGTTGTAATCTATTTTGTGCTAAAAACTGAATAACCATTTTCAATTTAATAAACTCAAAAAACGTTTAACCACGAGCATTACTCGATCACGTAACTAAAATAATCACCCATCTTAAAATATCCAACATTTCAAAATATAATATTTCTTAAGGTTATTTTTTCTTGATTTATAAGCGTTTTCATAGAATTCGAATAAACCACAAGACGTCGTAACTTTTTCAAGGTCTGGCCTGTGGTAAAATAAACAACACGTGGGCAATGATATTTCGACGTACCTATTCAAAACCCATTGCAGTCTGCGGAAGAAAATAATAGATACGTTCGGTAGCATTATACATCATACATTTGCATCGGACATGTCGGCACGTGGAAGAATATACTTCGGATATTGGGTATTGTTTCTCGATATTACAATAAACAAATATATTATCATATATATATATGTATATATATTGTATTTATAAAAAACAGTTCCCATCTCTCTCTATCTCTGTGTAAACGCCAGACATTGTTGATGAAGAGATTTTATAATAACATAAATTCTAGGGTTAGGTTGGGTCAGGGCATTCGCCAGCATATAAAACGATATACAGGGTATTTTAGAACGTTGGGGAACGTAAACTAAAACATTAAATGAACTGAAAACCGTGCGTGAGTCTTCTTTTTAGATCATAAATACGCACCGAGAAAGTGCAGATAATTTACGTAATTGTTTTCGGCCTAAAATAGCAATTAATACGGATTTTGAAACACTCATCCGGAAAACGGACAACCCGCGAGACATGCTATGTTTAATGTGCTCCCGATAGCTATATATTATAATTAGAGCCTTTGATTTCGTGCACCCTTTATATATGTGTAATATAACGTAATATTATACAGTATCTAACCGCAATGTCAGACCCGCACTACCCTTATATTGTCATTCCGAAATGCAAACCATTCAGCGTTATTGAATACCGAAAAAACAATATTATAAACATGTGTTCGTTTACTAGCAAACTGGGGAGACGTATAATATTGAGCCACTAAGCTATATTATACAGAGTGTTTTTTTTTATCACGAACCAGACATTTTCTCGGAGGATTTTAAATGAATTTGATTTTTGTTCTTTTTTTTAAAATTATTTTGGAATCGGATAAGCTTATTTTGAAACTATTTGTACATTTTCACCCGTACTCAGTCATATACTTTACATAAGTATATAATTTTGTTTTTCAAGTAGGAACTAAGATTTTTTTATGTATTTTTCTAAACATTTTGATATGCAAAAAACTAATATCAAATTGATTGTTTATGAGTTATAACCATTTAAAGTTTAGACCCGAAGAGTAGGAAAAAGTTATTGATTTATCATTTTAAAATATATGTTCAATTTATTACTCCTACCTACTTCTTCAGTCTAAACTTTAAAGATTATAACTCATAAGCGATAAATCTGATATTAGTGGTAGTTATACATATCAAAATTTCTGGAAAAATATTCTCTATTCAAATTTGTATTTAAAAGGCGGTTTCCTATATGATAAAACAAAAGTATATAATAGCTACTTATTTAATGTATATGGAATATGGGTAAAACTTAAAAATGGTTTTAAAATAAAGCTTAAACGATTCCACAATAGTCAACGAGAAAAAACAATAAAAATTAAATATACATAAAATGCTCAGTGATAATTGCTGGTTCATAATAAAAAAAAAATCACTCTGTATAACTGATACACGCTTTTCGTTTATAGATCCACTTCGCTTTCGTTTATATAATATTATATTCAAGGATAAATAACTGCTTAGCCGATGGAAAGTTCGATGGGCAGTGAAGAACATTGGCATACATTCAGTCTAAAACTTAGGAGCGTTAAAAAAAAAATTATTTACGGTAAAATATCACGGGGAGGGGGATTGTTGCCTACACCCTCCCACCTAATCAACACTTCAAAATAAAATTATATATTACTTAATGAATCTTTTATTACCTAATAAATAACTCGCAAGGATATAAAGATCTCCTTAAAGATACTAAAACAATACTTAAAAAACAATTAACATAAACTTACATTATAATATAACATAAATACTATATAATATTAACTATCAATATATTATAAATAATATAAATTAATGTACAATAGTATAATAGTAATTACTTATTTCATAGATATCTGGGTACCATTTGAATATTATTTTTTTTTTTTTATTTTAGAAATTGTATCTTTATCGATAAATATTATTGATTGGAAATACCTAATGGGCAATGGCTAAAAGGTACCTATGAGTACTCTGAATTACCATAATACCGAGACAGTTTATCGTTATCCGTATGCTTTCGTTTAGTAGTTCATGTGAATAGTTAAATGTTCGTATTTTATAAATATTTATCAATTATTTTTTTAAAATGCCCCAAAAAAAATTCATTAGTGGCGTAAATGCGATCATTTGTTTCTGAATTCGGTGAACAAGTTTTTTCAACCGATGGAAAGATTTTGTTTTAGACACCATGTAATCCAACATCTTAGTAACTACATATAAACACATCCGTTCTGTATATTTTGATAAAAATGAATTATCGCAAAGGTTAATCACGTAGTCTGCACCAACCAAAAAATCTAAAAACCAATTTAATTTGGATTTATGTAAATCATTATTGTTGGCTAATATTCTATTAAAAATAATTAATAATGCCGAATTTAAATCATTTTTTAAGAAACATACCGATGAAGTCATTTCTGATGAATCTACTATGTGAAAAAATTATTTAAATGATTGCTTTGAAGAAACTAACAAAAATTAAATCAACGTTCCAAGTAATGACGTAAATTGGGGTAGTGCAAATGTAGCAGTTGCATCATATCACCATATTTGAAATGTGGTGATAAAAGTTTAAATTTTTGCACCACCAGAAAATCATAAAAATCTATTTCTATTGTTTTTTATTTCCAAAAATCTATATTATTTTACTAAACAAGTAGCTATAATTTTTCCTTAAATGTTATAATAATAAAGTTTTTACTATTAAAATAATTCAATACTTATAATATATTTTTTTCACAAAAAAAAAAAAAATGTTTGTACCTACAGAAAAATAAATTGTTGATTAGGTGGTAATTTACAAAGGAATATTGGTGTGTTAAAAATTAATAGACTTCTCTACATCACCAAACATGTACTCCACTGGTTTCAAGACAAAAATAAATGGATATATAAAAAATCGTTACTTTAAATGTAATTACTGGATCATTAGATGTGGACAAGCTTAGTAAAATAACTTTATTGAACTTTGAAATATTAGATAAGGCCAATTATTTTAATATTTCTAAATTATTTGATAAAACTCTCCATCTTTTGTGGCCCGATAGCATAATATATGAAAATGTACAGCTTTTTGTTAGCGACGCTGCACCATATACGGTTAAAGCGGGTGGTTCTATAAAAGCGTTTTATGATAAGATGATACATGTTACTTTGTTTGGCATATGGTCTTCACCGTGTGGTAGAAGAAGTAAGACGTCTTTTTCCAAATGTTGATAAATTAATATTTAGTATAAAAAAATTATTTTAAAATTTAGTTATTGGTAATAACGTACGAATAACGTGACTTTCCGAGATAGACTGTATAATGTTTTCTCTTTCTAGCAGAGAATTTTTTGAGGTTATGTCTGTAACTAAGATTTAATCCGCAGATGATGATGTTGTCATTTATCATTTGTATTGTTTATTATCACTTCAAATTAATTAAGAAACTCTGAAGTTTTGTATTTAATAATAATTGTTTTATTCATTCATACAGAACCACAATATACAACACAAGCATAGATAATAATCTTTATTATCTATGAAAACAATGAACTAAGGTTCAATCTTAGTTTGAACATAACCTCAAAGTACGCTTTGATAATAAGAGAAAACAGTCTATTACATGGAAATAGCTATTCTTTCTCTCTTGCAGATTCTGAATAGCAATTATACATAGTAGCCTATCCATTCTTTATTATCTACATTTTATAACCTATTTTTATTATTTTTGTTTTGTTTTTGTAATTTGTGATAAAAAAAGTTTAATACATAGATAATAAAATAATGGATAGGCCACTCCGATATTAATCCTTCAAAACCTGATGTTCTGTAATAAAGACATTATTTTAAATGCTGTTTATCACCATTTAAAATTGGTTTATGTTATTAAAAGTGTATATTGTATATCCATAGATTATAAAGTATACAATAATTATAAAATTAACAACATAAATCTTGTCACGTTTAAGTTTTGCTATAAAACACTTTTGAAAAATATTGATATGACATTTTTGATTGTTTTTGCCAATAAATATATAGTTTCAAATTGAAAATAAGCTTTTAAAAATCTGATATTTTTTTCCCTCCGTGATAACAGAGTAATAAATAGGTACGAATCATAAATTCTTCCCAAAAATTAATACATATAATATTATTTTGACTCAGTAAACGCCTAATGTCTTCTACGCTTACATATTATAACTTAGTAAAAAAAAATTATATTGTCTTATGAAATAACCCATAATTAATAATTAATAAACGCAAAAGATCTAACTCAGAAAAATTAATTCCAGGTCTGAAAGGGTTAATATAATAAGGGGCCACGTTCCGAAATGTGAATAAGAGATAGACTGCTTATACCACTCTCAATCACACAGTAAGGGATTTTATCATTAATTATATTTCACAATGATAACAACTCAATCAGCGTATTTTTATTTTAATTTTGTTTATCAAAAGAATTTCAAGTAGGTATTTCAGTAAAATTTAATATTATTATTATCATATTTTTCACGAAATTAGAAAGATTAAAGTCTAAAGATGATATAAAGGAAAATCGTACCAGGGCTAAATTAATGAAACTTATCTATTTCAAACTTGAATAAATTTAATTGAGTACATACTATTATTATACAAAATGTTCATAAACCAGGGTTGTGATTAATGTATGTATATATATATATTTATTGTTTTTTAATAGCGTATTATGTAAGTATATAATTATTAATTATAATGTAATGTGAATGTTTTTGTTAAAATATTAAAACATAATAAATAATAATTATATATTATTATATAGTACTAATGAAGTTTAACCAGATTAATTTATTTACTAAATAAAAGTAAACTGAGTTATGAACTGTTGATTATTTGTATTCAAGTTTACAACTTTATTGATGAATCCCTTGTAACCTCAAATTATACAAATGTTTGTTCTCCTGTGATAAACTCTCATGGTATATCCATTTTTATTTTATCTATGGTTTTATAACACTTAATAGGCAGTTAGTACAAATAAATATAGAATAATATTTATTATGGTTGATAATGGACATAAAAGAGATAAATGCATATTATGAAACGTATGAAACGTTTAAAACAAAATAGACTTGTATAAAATAAATTTTTTAAAGCACTTCAAAATCCTGGATATAGGTGACCATTAAAAAGGGTTTATCTTGTGAACTTAACTACTAAAAAATAGGCACGCCTAAAATTATATAATTTCTTACCATGTCACCAAAGGTACCCAGAAATCGAAAAAATGATTTCTAAAATTTAAATTTAAAAATCTGGTTTTGAAACGTTTTATTGGATTCACACGCGTTTTTACGTTCATAACTTTATATCTCTCTAATCGTGTGACAGTGCAAAAGTAGAGGAGTATACTATCCAGAAAATGGGTGACAGGTGCAAAAAAAAAAGGTTTTTGTAATGGATTGATTTGTATTCCTCGCCCGTGATTTTCTTTTGTATCACTTGTTATTTCGTCAGTCTTACCCGTAAAATAATTTTTACAAAAGTCAGAAACTCCCAAACACTACGAGCACAATATTAAAATACCATCTTTTTGCAGTATATTGCAGACGTTTGCGGATCGTTCGTGAAATATATTTTTACATTATTTTCTTTCGCGAACTTACTTTCGTATATACTTATTTCGGATTGAAATACTTTCCGCGGTGTCACCTCACGGCCATAAGAACCGATAAGCATAAAACCTTATGGACAACAAAGAGAAGTAGATACTGTCCCCTTCAGCATAATCGTCCAGCTCAAAACTAACTGCAAATTCCATTTGGGAATAAATATTATATTAAGTTTACTGTGACTTGTGAAATCTCTATTCAAAACCAAGCCCATTAAAAACTCGACTTTTTCCCGCATCGGTGACAGTTTCTCTCGCTCATTTCTAATAAAATCTAACTTAATAAACTGAAATAACTGTGTAAAAAGATAGAAATTCTTCACACGGCGGGTAGACCACTATAGTAGGTGATAACTTAGAAGTTGAGAAGACAGGATATAAAGGAAAATTTAATGTATATCTGTATTATAAATGATAAACCATTACTAATGAAAAACGATTCAGAGCAAAGTTCATGCATGATTTAAAAAGCCATAATACTTCCCATGTTTGTCAAAATTTTCTATTCAAATTCTTAAAAAAAAAAAAATTACTGCATTAAACTCAAGTTTTTTTTTTTTTAACCAATAACTAAAAATTTTGACTTATAATGAACCTCCTGTTAAATTACCACTCATCTCTATTAAGTCTAAAAATTGTGTCCTCAGAGTACCTATCGAATAAAAATTACGTAACAAAATCAAAATCAAAATGTCTATATAAAGCCCAAAACTAGCACCAATGTTCTGAAAATTTTATGACGTCTAGAAAAGATAAATATGAGTGTTCTATTCAAATTTAAATTGTCTACGAATATTTTTAACTGAATTAAAACAAATAAACCATATTGAAAAAAAAATAAAAGGATTATTTTCGTAAATTTTCCACTTTTTTTCCTACGTTTTACCCAATTATCCCATTTATCACGATAGTTGCTTAGAAAATCAAACAAATTACTTTTCTAAAGTACCACCCAGATAAAATTTTATGTCATAAAATATGCTACATTTGATATTTCGGAGGAAGATTTCAAATAGAAAAGTTGTTCACAGAATAAAAAAAAATGTAAAACTAATACATTTCACATTACACTTTAAATATAAAAATAGTGACAGTCCAATTGGCTCCCAAAATCAGGAATACATAATCAGGATATATAAGAAGAAAAATGGTGAAATTCTATACAATTTTTTTTTTTTTTTTTGTAAAGACTTTTGTTAATTCAACTTTATACTATTTTTTTCTTTATCAATTGTTAAAACTTGATGAAATACATTTTGTAACATCCCCAGGTCGATTGTACGTCCGAAAAGTAAAATATCGACTTAATGGTCAATTATATAGTTAAAATTTGGAAGCCAATTTGATTATTGCTCTTTATATAAAAAAAAACCCACACTCGTATTATTTAAATAAATTAAAGAAACAAGAATTCGCCTTTGGGGGAAAATTATTAGGACAATGTCTACACGACATTGTTGTAATAATTGTCCAGTGCAATTGGTTTGTTTCAGGTTCTACACAACATTATTGGAAAAACGTAAATATTCTAATACACTAGAGCCGATCGATAATACATCAAATCACCTACTCGAGCATTATTATTATTATATCATAGTGCGTTATTTATTGACCGTCGTCGTCAGATATTGCGCCTGGGCAGAATAAAGAAACTGACAAATATAATATAAAATATAATAATATGATATACTCCACGGAGGCTTACTCGGGTTTCTATATATATATTCTAAAAATCATATTATTAGCATTACCACGCGTTTTAAAAGGGATTTCTCTCCCCAACCCCACCCCTATAATTTATTGTTACAGTTCTCTTTCGTATACTTATATTCTCCATATCGTATTATATATAATGCGGAAACACGCTATTTTGTCCTCCGGTCGACTGTCCGCCAAAAACATATTCAAAGTACAATATTTTATATGAGCACCTGTAAGGTTGGCCTTCCCGGAAATTCTCGGGAATACGAAAAATCTTGGGAACGAGAATTCACGAGACACTAAAAAAACTGGAGAATTTTGATTTTTGATAATATTTGTTTTGTTACTATATTCATACAGTAGAAACTTTTGAAAAGGTCAACTATTTGAATAATTTTAATATGATCAACTATCAAATTATTCAATAGTAACTATTTGATAGTACCTATCACTAATTAAAAAAGTAGCAAAACTCCGTCTCTTAGAGTCGAATTTTATCAAACCAAAGTCACTGTTACAATATTTCATGTTAATACAATATCTGTATATTTTAATAAATTTTTGATTGTATATTTTATACATAAAGTATAATAATTAAAATTGCCAACCGTCAGGGGAAAATATTATTGTATTATAAACGCTGAGATAGTTGTTACAATATAAAAACTCCAATATTTTCACACAGAAACAAATTATCTTTAAAATTAAAGGTAAAATTCAGTATAATATTTATATTTTCTTCGTTAGTTTCAGGTACTTCTAGTGGCTCCCACTGGACCATATGAACTCAAACTCGGAATTTAGGGTTGTTTTATAGGTGGATTAAAGTGATCGAATACCTAACCTTGTTTAGCTTTGTGCGCCCCTACAGACCCCCAAACTATGATAATAACATGACATTTTGTATATGCATGGCGTTCGTATCAAGGATGTGTCTTATAAAATGTCAACTATTAACACCCCCCCCCCCCATACCATTTGTATCATCAATTATTACATTTTAACAAGAAATACTGGGTTTTAAAAAAACTCTACAGAATAAAATGTAATAAAACTGTTGTAACCATAAATATTTTAGTTCTAAAAGAATAATTTTAAAAAGAAAAAAATGGAATATTGTAACAGTGACTTTGGTTTAAGAAAAATTCATCTCTAAGAGGCGGACTTTAGCTGCTTTTTTAATTAGTGATAGGCACTATCGAATAGTTACTATTGAATAACTCGATAGTTGATCGCAATTCAAACTATTTGAATAATTAACCCATTCAAAGTTTCTACAGAAAGAATATTTTTTTGAAATATTTGATAGTTCATCCAACCTATCGAAAACTATCAATACTATAAACTATTTGATAGTGTCCATCATTATTTTGAATTATTTGTTATATTGCAAATGCATTATGAACATTTTTCTGCAAAAATACCTAGTCAAATATTGGTTTGAACAACCCCCCCCCCTTCTCCCCCTTCTGCAATATCCATTATCCAATATTGAATTAATGTCGGCTATTTATTGCGATACTCGTAAATAGTTATAATTTAGACAAATACTTATTAATATTTTTAATTTTTGGAAAATCTACTTTTTTTTAGCAAATAGTAGGATTACGAAGTGGAATTTTTACAAAAACAAAGCCCCCATGAGTTTATGAATTTTATTTTTTTGTGAGTGGTGGACATTGCCTATTTTGTAAAGTTTTCCCGACTATTTTAATAATATTTTGGTGGCACTGGTAATGAGTATAATATAGCGCGGTCTATATGTAATCTACGATGGTCATTTTATCGTAATATTATATAGGTACAAGTAAACCAAAACTACCTTCGTCGTTTTTAACCAACTACACTACGCGACCTTTTTGCTGTGGTTTTAATCGCGAAAATTATCGAGTTTAAACGCGACGACACTCGAACGATCCTTTTGTCGACCTGATACTGTGCAATGGCGAGGGATAATTTATATTATTACACAGAATAAAGTTCTTTATAATAATATACCTACGTTATTATACTACAATAACAATACTAGAATCCAAGCCATTGTGTTTGCATAGGTACCGCGGTGATACATCGGGGGGATAACATTAACTATAAAATCTTTTGAACGGAATATAAATAATAAAGTCCGAAGCCAACGGAAGGCGTATATTATAGTAACTAAATATTCGAATAATTTACAATACAGTATTATAGAAACCTTTCATTTTATTTATAATCAAATTTAATATATCTTAGTTTGTTGCTATATATCTATGAATTTTAATTCATAATTCACGTAGTTCATAATCAAATCGAAAAATAAAAACTTTGAAAATCCGGCATCCGGCAATTGGACTTAGATTTAGGGTTTTTGCTTTGCACTTCCTTTTCTTATATTAGATTATATTGAGATGGGTATATGCGTAAAGCCTTAGAACTGAACAAAATGAAAAAAAAAAAAATTCCTAATAGTAATAACACAGGAAACTTTATAGCAAACACGAAACGGAAAAATAAACTAAAATGTCATTTAAAATTTCTTGAGATATTAGTACAGATTGGAAACTGTCGACATTAAGAAACATTTATCTATTTTGTTTTCTAAATCTATTTAACATCGGCCAGTCATTAGATTTCACGTATATATTTTTATTAAATAAATAACACCACCAGTGGTGTTATCCTTACATAATTTTCAAATTCGCCTTCGGTAGACTGGAGGCAGTATAACATGAATGGTACATTATGATGCTGAATACAGGGGAAATTAAAATATAGGTGTAGTAATACAGAGGGATTCAAGGAATGTCTAGACACCAGTATTTTCGGAAGCGCATACAGTCGGTCAGAATACAGGAGAATAGACAATACCAGGATCTGTAGAAGATACAGTCAGTGGATGGGTACTGGAAGCAGTATAATACTTTTGATACATTATGATGCTGGATACAGGAGAAATTAAGAGATATAAGTGGAAATACAGAAGGGTTCAGGGAATTTCTAGGTGTCAGTGTTCTGGGAATGTGATACAGCTTACCGGTAGGTTTATCTACCTGGTATAATACAGAGGAAATTGAGATGTGGAGGGATTGTATTCAATATGGCTGAATGCAGTCAATATATATGTATATATGCATGTATGAAATGTATTTATATACCGGGAGTTAAGCTTGTCTAGATGTCAGTATTTTGTGTTCAAGAAGACAACTTATAACTGCATATTTTTATAATATTTTATTATATTATGTAAGTACCTACTATGTTGTGTTAATTAATAACTTAATAGAAATCATCCAACCGTAGGTATACATTTGTAAAACTTCAATTATATTATATGTAAGTACCTGCTGGAAAGGCAGCTAAAAAAACAATGATTTGATAACGGAGCAAAAAAATTAAATAATAAACAATTATACTAATGTATTTTAATTTATTCTGTATACATAAGGACTTATTTATTTATTTATATAAGTACACGAAAGAACACGAAGTTATATTATATTATTATATTGCCTTTATGCATAAAGTCGTTCTTTATGACTTCATATACTCAATACAAATTAAAAATAACTATTAATTTATAAATAATGGTTAAACTTAAGTTGATAATAATTAATCAAAGTTCAAAAATGTGAACTTCATAAAATAGTTTTAAAAGTCTAACATAAATACCTAGCATATCACAACTTTTATCAATTAATACATATCTAATTAAGTAATAACTGATTGACATCAGTTCTCACTTTTTTGAATTTGATTAATATAGAAATGCATTAATGAAACACAAAAAATTTAAAGAAAATGTGTTTTAAAAATTAGAAACAATAGTTGTGCATACTAATCAGTAAAGATACAAAACATTTATATAATTATTGTTTATTATTATTATAATATTTTATAAATTACATAGTTAATTATTATATATTACTCAGATATGTCGTGGAGAATACAATCGTTGTTGAAAATAATTTTTTTATACTGTTAGTTGTTGTACTGGTAGATTTTCTTTTTTTGGCTACATGCATTCAGGTGTTTAAGCCAATTGGTCTGGTTTAAATTGCCTTTGCTCTCACCACAAATACATAATTTCTTTTTATTCATGATGAATAAATCAATAAATGTATTATAATTTATGAATAATATTATCGTTTATTGTTGATAAAATAATTATTATAATAACTATTAAATATACAATTATAAATTTTGATTTACAATTAATAAAAAGTAATAACTAATAATCAACAACAGATAGAAATCGATGAACCGAACATGTAAAAATTCTTTGACGGATAAAACAAAAAGAGCACATTGATACCATCCCATAGAGTATTACTCTGGGAACCATCCATATTTCTGTTATCATTATCATAACAACAAACACCGATATATTAGGCAAGTCCATAGAGCCGGTACCTACTCTATGGGTATGCCATAAATATATTTATTTTACTCCGTGGTATATAACATGACTTTAGAATATAATATAATTTTATCTAAAGTTTTTATCAAATGGAATTCCACCTTGGCCGTGGTATATAATGTACACGTTGCAAACAAACAAAATAACATTAAATAACAGCTTTAAAAATCATAATCAAACCAACGATATAATATAACAGAATCTGAAAAATAGGTAAAAATATTTATTAATAGTATTGTACCAGTGATAATTATTACGAAACTATAAGCAATGTATTAAATGTTTAATACATGTAAATATACAATCGGGAAACTGAGTCGTTTTTCGGACGTTCGGAAAAGCGGTGCGGAACGGCCTGTGCGGAACGGGAATAACTGTGAGAAAAAGGTTTTCGCGAGGGAAAAAATAGAAAAACGATTAATATAATAATTATAACAATAATAAATATAAGTCCACCATATGAAAAATATGAAAAAAAATTCGTGAAAAAAAAACGCAAAAAATCTGATCGACTGAGTGACCGGGTTATTCTTACGGAACGTTCAAAGGCGGCGGCGCCGCCGTAAATCGAACCTGGCGACCCTGATCACACAAAACTAACCTGACCTAAATATCGACCTACAACGTTTGTGGAAAAAACCGAACGTTTTACGAGTATATAAGTCACGATTATCACGTGTAAACGACTGAAATAAAACGGACGCATTGCGAGCGTTAAACCAAAGAAAAGGTAGGAAAATAACGAAGCGAGTAAATAATGGCGAGTAAATACACAGTATTACCATAACCACGATATTACCGAATACGAATGACCATAGATAACGACATTGGAAACACCTTTTCGGAAAACAGAAAATCGGAAATAGAAAACCGTACGTTCGGGTGTCACGGAAAATATCAAAATATGTTTAAAAGATTTTTTAAAGAGTTTTAGAGTAGAAAAATCGGTGAAAAAAATGTCTAAAAACGTGTTAACGAAATAACGAATACTTGCCAAAGAAATGTATATAGTGCCACCGTTGTCATTTTATAATATAAAAAGATAATTGTTATCATGAACACTTTTCGCACAAAATTCGTGCACAAGTATCACCGAAATAGTTATTTATAAAAGAAAAGACTCAACACACACGTGTCTAAAGTGTGATGTGGGGTTGTGTCTAGTTCCGTGTCTTGAAGTTTAATGCAGAGGAAAAATATTTTTGAACAATTTGATGAATTTAATTTTTTACCTATTTTAATAATGTATTATGATGATAATTATAATGATTATTGTTATTATTATTATTATATGTTTATAAAAGTCTAACAAATGAAAATTTATAAATAATAATTGTTTGATTTTATGGTGTTTTGTGAATAAGATTTATCAACTGCTGGAAAATACCGTGTTTTGAGAAATCATTATTTACATTTAACACTTAAATAAGAAAGACAAACATGATTTCAAATATTTTTGAACTTTTTGGTTGCTTTAATTCATCTCTTGGAATATTAAAAGAAATAAAAAAATAGTAAAAACAAGTCAAATTTGTATATTAGGGAAAGGTTATAGCGCAAAAAGCTTCTGGTAGTTAAAGTTTGTACAAATTATATTTTCTTTTTTTGTCAATCTTACTTCAATCAAATAAAACTATAGGAGAAATAAAGTTTGTTTCTGTCGTGTCCCTCCCCTCGAATTTCATTTTCGGAATTCATATTTAACAAACGGTCCGAAATTATTTCGGGTACACATAATTCAAAACACGGACCATTAATAATATCAAAATATCATGTAAACTGTAAATTTCCGCCAAATTACTCTCATGCACAAGACGGATGGAGTCCTCGGAATAATTCAAGAACGTCCGTTTGAAAAATTTGTATAGCGGATATTATCGTGAGCATATCATAACATAGTATACTGTAATAAATATGTTTACTCTGAATATATTATAAATGTCAATAAATGGTTAATTAAAAATATAATATTATTATTTTGATTATTATATTTCATTCCAGTCGAGAATTAAATGATGATTTCACACGGGCTATTCAGGATATTATGAACCTGTGACGATTTTATATCTGCGAATTTTTGAGACCATAACATTTCATTAGTTGTCTGAAAATTGCCTATAAGTGATTCCTTAAACACGGGAGATAGTCCGTCTCCTTAAGAGGGTGTAATAGTAACATTAGCCGTTTACCTAACTAATAAATCTAATCTAAAAAAAAAAAAATGATTTCACTAAAATTAAAGACGACAATGTCTACTATTTCAGAAGTACGGACACACATTTTTGCTATATATGTTAGATAGACAGAGACGGTAAATGTTACTGCGACGCCTTCCTAAGACACAATTTTCGTATAAAGGCTCCTTCTATGGTATGCGTAGACAAATATCCGAGAAAAACTCTATAAACTTAATATTTTTTGATTAATTTTAATTTATGTCTAAATTTATAAAATATTATAAGAAAAAAATGTATACCATAAATATGATCATAATAATATACAAGTTCTTAAAAAGTCTCCATACAAAATACTCGGGAAAGTATTCGTATACATTAATATATATTTTCTGGGAAATGATCGTTAAAAACTGTTTCTGGCGGTGTAATATCCTGAAGAAAAAAAAAATATTTTACAGATCGTATATTATAATAATGATAATTATTATTATTATCACGTCGTAACCACTCTGCTAGTTGCAGTGGTATCCGTTCGATTATAAATTATACCTACACACTCGATCGACATTTTTTCCTTCTACACTGTAATCGATTATTTGTCTGTAGGTGTACAGATTTAAAATAATATTAACGACAATCAAATCGTTTTTCCGAGAAACACTTTGGTTTTTCAACGAACTCTATTTTGTTTTTATTCGACTAAAGCAGAATTTACGACTCATCGAGCGTCATGTGAAATTGAATTTGTTGTATTCGCACCATAACGTTTTGTGATGTAATTATAGCTAATTGTGATGTTGGTATATGAAATAATTGATAAAAAATTGAATGGTAAATGCAATAACGCTATAAATAAGAATCATGAGTTGAATATATTATTCTACATTTGGTAACAGACAAGCTTATCGTAGATAATGTTTTGGTAAAAACGTTCAAAATGTATTTATACAACGATAAGTAGAGTCAAACAGAAAATAGTCTTTCACAAAACACAGCGTGTCGAGTATTCCTCTTGAAAAATATCTTTTGAGTTGAACTAACTGTTAACGCGGTTAACTGCTAAATTTAACGGCAATAGATTTTTATTAAAATAAATCAGTGTTTCCCTCAGTGTGTGATCTTTAAATTGACTAAATGACTCTATACATTTCTTTTTCTAATAATTTTTGAAAAAGAAGTTAACAAAAATGGAAGTCGATATGATGTATATGTGAGAGAAAGAGAGATTCATGGTTGAATTTTTTAGTGAAGTTATACACACAGATGTATAATAGAATGGTAACTAACATAATATTATGATATTATACTAATAATGTTCTTGGTTGAAACCACACAAAAACCATTCAATTTGAGATTCCATGGTATTTTCATATACTGTTATAGTATAATAAATGTTATATCTGCCTTATTATACTATTGTTACCACAGTGATTGCAACTATGATTTTTTAATAATATTACACAGGTACATAACAATTATCATAATATAAAAGTGTATGCTAACTGATATGGCTACGAGCCTCGAATTAAATTACAGCTTGAAAATGTACGTCTTATCACATCTTATCTAGCAATCTAGGTTATTACATATATTAGTGGGTTATACACAATTTTATACTAATTCTTATTTACAATAATTGAGATACAAATTGAAAAATTGATAAAAAAGTATGTAATAACTATCAAGGAGTGTTATACAATTGTGTATAACTTCTTTGAAATATTCAACAAAGAATCAGTCTCTGGAACATAATTATGTCTATTCCACATAATATTATTATTAAGTCTATGATATTCGTAACAAAATCGCTTTTTTTATTTTGCCATGTATAACTACAAGAAAGTTCAAAATAAAGAAAAAAATGGATTTCGTTCACGGCCGAGTATACCGTCATTATTGCTGTCGGTTTTTTTTTTACAAATCCACATCTTTTTACAGAAAAAAAATACACGTTATCGCTCGAGTTCCGCTTAAAACCTAAAAATGAAAAATCGCGGTTCGAAATTCTGACGAGATATATTATAAATCTAGCTGCGTGTATAGGTGTACTTTTTGTACGTTTTCACCGAAAAGTTTTTCGGAATTTCTTGCGAACTCTTCTCCCATATTTGCGGATACTCGGATCATAAAATATTGTTATAACGCCATGAAATATACGAAACACGTATATAAATATTATAATATTACGCCACTTTAAAACGGGGACGACGTTTTACGGAAACGCGTCCGGCGCGGTATATGCGATTGACTTATCGTTGTAAACGAAACCGAGAAACTTTACGTGACCGTTTTGTCATTACTTTATATGCCCCACAAAAAATCGAATTTTAAACCTACTGACAATAAAACAGACAAACGACAAATTTTCGATCAAAAACTACGATCCGCACGTGCTGCAAAAAAAACAGACGAGAACACGTCAATATTATTATAACTGTTACCTGTAAAATCTGAAATAGCGTTTTCATATAAATGCAATTGATACTATTTTTCGATACCCGTGTCGGTCCACTGATTTCATAATTTTTGAAAATATAAATGTTAATAAAATAAAAAAAAACTAAAACGTTACTAAAAGATAACGACAACACGGCTATTATCTGTTGTTCATGGGAAGCCGGAAAGACATAGGATATAAGATAACGATAAACTATTGCAATTAAAAATACGATTATGAGCATTGTTTGGTGAACCGGTAAAGTATTGGTCCTGTTTTTTTCCTTGTAACACAAAAATAAACAACAATAACACCGAAAAATCGTCATTCGTTAGTCAATATTGTTAAGTTTTGTTTTTTTTTTCGTAAGTAATACTAACGAGAATCTATAAAAATTGTTGTAAATAATGTACAGATATAAAAATATTGCATGAAAAAGTCGGATTTTTAATCAACAAAATAGTATTTTTCGAAGAAAAAATACATGTCAGTATCAGTCATTATACTGACTTATATATATAATATTATATGACTTATATTAGACATTTTTTGCAAAACTTAGAATCTAAAAACCACTTTGGCGCAGATTAATTTCTCATATATTTACCCTAGTAAATTTCAGGTCGTTAAAAATTTGAATTTTGTTTCGATAGGAAGTAAAAAATTTACAAAAAGATTTTTAAGGCCTTCCCGGAAAATTTCGTATTCCTATTGCTGCAGTAAATATAGTATTTTTACAATATTTATTCCCTCAGAAAGTGTTTTGGACGCAAACAATCTGTTATACAGACTGGCGGCGATACATTTATTTTAACTCTTAAAACCTGATCGGCTTTGGTGAGTTTTCAAGAAAAAAAACGGTACCTAATCAATTCGGGGTTATAAGAGCGCCCTGCATTTCATTTATATAGGTACGTGTTGAGACGTTCGATGCCGTATAAATGATTTCTATATATTCTATATTTACGATAAAGTGCACATACTGCAAATTCGTTATGGCAGCCGTATGTATAATGATTTCGAAGCCAACACAAAAAAAAAAATAAAAAAATTACGACACTGTTCACGGTTAGACTATTGTAATATATACGTAATTAAGATACAGATAGGATACACAAGGCAATTTAGTTTACATGCTCTATGCTGTGGTACAAACAAATGCAAACAAAAAAACAACTAGTCTTAATTAAAAGTCGTATTTTTTTATTTTTTTTTGCCAATAAGGTAAAGAACGTATTGAAAAAAAAATATGAAAATGACATGTTTTGCGAAAAGTAAGTGTTTGAAATTTCAAAACAATTCTTCAAATATAAATTCAGCCGTTTCATAAACAATGGCCCACTTATAACTTATGTTGGCCGATTCATATTAATTGAAAATAGATGGAGCCGATAATTATAATTATAATATAATAATTTATTTAGATGTGTATAGCATGTGTCTGCAGTTTCATTAATCGTATTTCAATTATTATAACCTCGTAAATATAATTGGACGTCGTAATCCAACGTAAATGCAGACGATACTCTAATATTTGAATAAAAAACGATGATCATCGTGTGGTGATTATTTTACCATCAGCCATTTCCTCGGAATTCACGATGGATTTTTATCCAAAACATTTTTGGCACCGCGTCGACCACGCTTGATTTTAGTTTGGCAAAACTACCAAAAACAATATTATTATTATTCCCCTTTCACCGCGTGAACCTTTATTTTCGTATTGGTTTCTGGCGTTCGTGTCATTGTCAATAAAACATTAAAAATATATAACATACGAGACACCATTTGCCGTGCGTAAACGTAAAAACTTTCCGATATCGTGACATTTTTTTTTTATTTTTTTTAATTTAAAAATATTATCTTACGACGGCTATAGTCGTAATGACGTGAGATACGGGGTTTCTCAAAAGTGTTATTTTGTCGTTTTTTACCGATACGGGAAACAAGAATACTTATATAGTTTTTGTGGTACTGTTTCACGTGTCGATTTGGAAACGCCCTTTGTTTAAGCCTTAAGGGATTACGTTGGCTATTTAAGAAACTTGTTGGAAAAATAAAGACAAAATTAATCAACTCAGAAATAATTCTTGTACCAGTTGTGTAATCGTATCTATACACTTTTTTGAGTGATATTTTGAAAAATACATCTTATTGTGTTTGCTATATGCTTTGGTTTTACAACGATATTTTTCTTTTTCCTGTGAACAACTTTTCTACCAGAATTTTTACTCTAGTTCTCAAGTGTAGCACTTTTTCTGAAACGAAATTTAATTGAGGTAGTACTTCAAGCATGCTATTTTTTGATTTTCCCAAAGGTTTTTATAAGAAATGGGAAACACGAGAAAAAACGTAAGAAAATTAGGAAAATATACGAAATATATTATTTTCAAAACGTAAATATTGCAGCCTTCAAACATAAACAACCGAACTCTGCTCTGAATTGTTTTTTGTTAGTAAAGATTGATCTTTGCGCACGGATATACATTAAATTTCTCCTCTATCTTCCCAACATTTTACCAAAAACAGTGGCCCACCCATCGTGTGAAGTATGTCTGTTAGTTTTGTATACTATTTTAGTTTTTTTTTAAAAATGAATAGTAATTTATATACAATAGTTTTTATTTTCAAGGTAAATTTCTGTCCCGTAAACGTATTTTTACGGCTAGCGTAGTTTTATACAAACTTAAATTTTAAAATATTTCTATACAAATATGAAAGATAATTGCTAAAAGAATTATTTAGATGAAGACAAATAAACAGCAAATTTTTATCTAAGTAGGAAATTTAATTGTTAATTTATTTAATCATATATTAATACAAATAAAATATTTCACATATTATGACGTATACAATAAATAAATAAATTACAATTTTAAAAGATCCATAAAGATAACTTTAGCTAAACGATTCAATAATTTATCTCGGATAACGTATTTTTCATTTTTCTAGATACAATCGACGATAAAAAAATGCCTACCTATAAATAATTAAACGCAACACTGTTTACAGTACGTCGTTTGTGCTACTTATACGAAAACGAAAATGTTATAGGCCTTCAACAAGCATCGAAACGAACGCGGTCTTTGTAAAGCGCTTGTTTTTCGATTTATTATTTTCTAGACTTTGGAATGAGTAATTGGTTCTCCTCAATATGAAAATAATTAAATATAAAGACAACTAATTTAATAGAAATAGTTGAAAACATCAAGGATATATTTGAAATACAAGAAGTTGAGCACCATTACTAACCTACCAATGTATCCAGTAGGTACTTGGTGGATTATAGATTGTTTGTGAGTTATTTTAGATTCGTTTCGCCATTTCCCTTCGATCTCTCGTATTAAGTACAGAAAAAAATGTCTCGATTTATAACAGTCAGTAAGTTTGCTCTTATCGGCCCGTATATACTCGTATTTCATTCGTATAAAATATTATATTACCATACGTAATAATCGGAACTACCCATAATACTGATCTACCTACATAACTGTAATGTTATAATTTATTGAAATATACTACCCCGATGTGATTTTTTTTTTCACATAAAAAGTTCGCGTATAGTTTATAATACTGCTATGACAGAACATTATACAAAAAATAATTCGAACGACAACGGCACTAATTTGAATAATACAATTACCGGATCGACGTTATCTCGAGTTTCTTTTGCCGGACGGTCGACATTTGCAATAGTCGCAAATAAAACACCGTTTCCGAGTTGAACCCATTTAACTGGTTTTTAACTATGTATAATTAAAACGGGTTTTTCGGACCCACGTAACCGATCCAGATAACCCACAAACAAAAAAAAAATGCATAATTCGAGCGTGACTTCCCGATATTATATAAAAAATTAATTTCCGCAAGCTAAGCGTCCCGTGCCTCCCGACTATAGAAAAAAAAGATGATAAGTACTAGAGATAAGCGTGCCACTGTTGTAGATGAAAAGTCGGGAAGGAAGGATACATACAATTATTTAACTTATATTTGTACGTAACGGTAAACCATTGCTAACGAAATATGAGCGAAAATTCTGAGCGCAGTTCGGTTATAAATGTTTTTAATTGCCGTAATTTATAAGATTTTCATCAAAAAGTGATTTTAAAACGCTTATAAAAAAAACCTAATGCACTCTACTTTTTCTATTTGACCATCAAGTTAAGCTTATAATGAATTTCGTATTAAATCATCAAGCTTATCAGTTCGGTCAAATAATTGTATTCAAATTAAATTAAATAACAATTAAAAATATCAAAAGTCTATAAATTAATCAAAAATTACCCTGAATGGTTTACTACGTTTAGAAAAGACTAATATAAGTGTGCTATGAAAATTACCGATCTCTACTATTGTTTAGTATGGAATTAATCGTTTTGCTATCACTGACGGGCGTGCGGGGTTCCCAAGCATTATTGCGATTGTTTTGAAAATCGCCGTTTCCCTATAACTCTGCAGTTATTGGCACAATATTGTTCATTAAACAAACAGTAAATGTAGTGATATAGGTGTGTGTCATTTCCGTACAAATTTGACGATAAAACAAGCACGCAAACAGATACCCACAATAAAGAATTAATAAAGTCATTTGTGCGTACAATAGTCACGGACAATACACACGAAGTCGAGACACACGATTCAACCAAATATAACAGGACTACGGAAATTCCTCCTTTCCCCCATCCATTTCAAAAAAAGTTCGTGTCATTAATAATGGAAGAAAACTGATATAAAATAAAACGTATTTTATTGAAATATTTATTTCGTGTCACCGAGGACAGACCACAGTCATCCGTGGCTGAACTCTACTGCCCTATCTAAACCCTTTAGATCCAAATAGAAATTCTTGAAATGTATATACGAACGAATAAAAAAATTCCGTTAAAACTCTTTTTGAGTCCTAATACCCCGTCGACGATAATTTTCAAGAAAAGAAATTGGTGACATGTAATTCGATCACGGTTTTATCCATAGGTATCGTCGATGTGTTCTCTCATAATGCTTCATTATACAGTGAAATACGCAAAGGGGGGGGGGAATTCCATAACGAATACATATATTTTAGTCAACTTACGAGGAAATGTATTAATAATTAATTAGCTTTTTTTAGGATCTTGCTTTTAAACTACTAATCCCCATAGTTGGGTACAAAAGACGATTTCGCTACATCCCATCCCATTCTAAAATTCCTGGGCACGCCGTCACCTATATAATAATATTATTGTGTTCCTATATCACAAAATATATTATCTAATAAAAATATCACTCTTAAATATGTATCGAAAACAAAAACGATTCTGAGTGTTCTGTTCAGAATTTAAAAGGTAAAGCGGTTTAAGGAGGTCGTGCTATCTCTCGTTTCTATTTATGAGGTTGCGTCTGTACAGCGTTTCCCAATGTGTTCGACGGATTTTTCTAGAGCTGTTAATATTAAATTTTTATCAATTTTTTTTTTCAATCGTTTTGTCTTCGAAGGGGACATCGATTGAAGAAAAATACAATTTTTATTTTCATCCCATAAAGACAAAATACAAATAAATTTTTATTGTTCACCTTAGATAATGTTCAAAATAGCAATTTTGTAAAACATGTTATTCAGAAAATTTGAATGTATCACACATTCATATCCAATGAATAATTTCTTAAAGTTATAGTCGTTTTAATTAGACGTGAAAACAATTAATATTCAATAAAATAACACGTTATACAATAAATAAGGAATAATAATCAGCACGGTAATTCTTTATCTTTTATTAAATATTAATTTGTTTTCACACCTATTTTCAAGAAAAAATTTAAATGGTTATAATTAAAAAGTTTTTCATTTAATATGAATGCATGATACATTAATATTTTAAAAAAAATATTTTTTACAAAATGGCTATTTTAAACATTTTCTAAAGTAAATAAAAAAACATATATTTTTTTATGTTTAGGAGATGAAAATAAAAATTTAATTTTTTGCAAATCGATGTCTCCCTCGAAGAAAAACTGATCAAAAAAAGTAAAAAATCTAATATTAATAGCGCTAGAAAAAGTCGTCGAATACGGTGAGTCACACTGATATTGTTTATAATCAATTTTCCCGACATTTTTGATAAAAATTAAATTTTATCAATTCAAACTATCAAACAGTTTGATACAGTTGATGTTGCTATACTATATTTCTAGGAACCCATAAATCGGTCCAAAAACTAATGAGCCACCGTTATAATTTAAAATTAATTAGTCAAATAAGATGTTGTTGGATCCTTCGTATATATGCACATAGATTTGAAATCTCAAAATATTTCTGGGTACTTACAACTACGGATATCATCTAAAACCGAAGTATCGTCGATTTGTTGTAGATTTTTTTAAACATCACTTATCAGTAACGCTTTTGACAAAAAATCTAAAAAAAAATCTAGATCTTTATATAAACCGTGTGAAAAGTTTAACCAAAAGTGGCTCCGATCAAAATCTAAAATAAAATATAACAAAACATTTTTCACCGTTACTCCGAGTATTTTTTCATAATACAGTTTGAGGATAGAGAAATACACAAAAGTACATTGTTTCGCTGTCTCTTTTTTTCTCTCTTCGGAACATTTCCCCACAAAAATTGTGTTCGACCGATGTATACTAATGTCACGGCCATTAATGTCGCAAAGAGTGTCGATAATTTCTTTGTGTAGGTATACAGAAAACGATTAAAGGTAATGGTATACTCCGTTAATGTGTGTATCACTTGCAGATTTCTCGGAGACCTTATATATATTACAACGTTACAATAGATTTACCTTTGTTTGATTTTTATTTGTTTTTTTTTTAATTTTATTTTTATACCGTCTCATGATTTAGTATCTAAAGCAAACGTATCGCCTATTTTTATTCAGACAATTTTCAGACAAGAAATTAGTTTTGGTGCGTGCAAAGAGCCTTAAATAGAGCCTGTAATGCTTAAACAAAAATAAAAAAAAAATGTATCGTAGTCTTTCCAAAGAAAAATATCGTTTACACCTATATTGTGTGACGGTATTTTTAATTTCGTCTTAATTTATTTTCAGCACAGGTTTTTATTTATTTTTTTTTTTTTTTTTTTATGAAGATGATTGCTTATTACTGTAACCAGAAAATACTAAATTGGAAAAATAAAATCGGTGTTGCGATATTTTGCTGTCGTTAATATATTGAACGGAAGGAATTAATAAAGCGAAAAATTCTCCAAAACTTTTTAGAGAATGTGATACCCGCAATGTCTAATCGTAAAAATAATCTAGTCAAAGTAACTGGTTTTCAAGTTGATCGTACTATAGTTAAAAGTTGTATATGGAACAACTCTATTTATTATTAAAATTACTAATTATTGTTAAGTAAACACCAAAACATCAGCTAGGTTCCTACTACTTTAATTGGTTAAAAGTTAAACTGACTATGCAAAAAGTAAGTACAAATAAATAAATTTGCGTTCAGCTGAAGCTGAACTGTTAGTTTTAATATTAGAGCGAATTGACCTCAATATAATCAAACTTTAAGGTAAGAACGCATTATTTTTGAGTGTGTGTAAGTTTTTTTGATATTTTAATTTTCAAGCGAGATCCGAGGTATAATAATTTTTAAAATGTGATATTTCACATAGGTATTCAAAATATTTCGCTTGAAAATTCTACGTTCATAAACAAATAATGTGTTCCTTTTTTTTATTTGAATAGTTCGATAGTAAGTGAACTCACTATAATATTTAATCAAACTGCACGAATTGAAAAGTATAACATATTTGCTATTTACGTCGTGGCTAATTTGCAACGAATAAAACACATACGAGTATCGTGGCCTTTTAAAAGATGTGGATATTCTCCACTCGATTTTTTTTTTGATAAGAGTTTTCAAAAAAAAAAAATTATAAATTAACAAGCAGCAAAATATGACGAAATCTCAAATTTTATATTAGAGTAATCAGCGCATATTTTTACTGGGTGGCATTGTGATGTTAGGTATTAGGTTTATTACTCCACTCGGAATTGTTTTTGGTTTGCAATGATTTGTCGCCAGTGCAACGGGTATTTAAACTGAATTACCGAAGTGTCGGTACGAAGGATATGTCTTGTCTGGTTTATTGAAATTGTTATGGAGTACATGTGATTATTATATGCTAATTTGTCGCCGTCAGTTTCCCGCGAGAAGTTTATCCCGAGATTTTCCGCGTTTGTACACGTTGTGTTTTTACATTTCGTGCGGTCGTAGTAGGGTCGACAACACAATATCACGTGATTTATATGATACTCGCCGAGACGACGTTGTAAACCACGGCAATATTTTTTTCGCCCGCTTTATGTATTATTATTTCACGGTAAAAAGTCGCGTATACAATATATGTACGAATATATATAAAACATTCGCGTTTATAATAAACTATAAACTGACAATATTATTTATTTATTATAATAAATAAATAATATTGTCAGTCGGTACTTTTGGTTCGAACTCAACGTTTCCGGCGATTTATTACGTCGGTTTTAATAGTAAAAATACGATTATTTAAATCAATACGAACGCACGAATACACCATAGTTTTTTTGGTACAATCATAAACGAAATAACTGATGGAGTTATGTCGCACACGAATAAAATTGATCGAATAAAAATTATTATTCAAAATCACTTTACAAGTTTGAACAGTCCGATGACGTTATCATGATATTCTTTATTGCGTATAACCAAAAAGTTCAAAAACATATTCGCGTGAAAGAGGAAAAAAAATATTATTACGCCATTCCAAATAATTTTTTAGAGGAAAACGAACAAACTTATAATAATATTTGATATGCCTCCGAATTATTTGGAATATCCAAAATCGTATAAAAAAAAGTGTAAAAAAGAAATAAATACTTTTGTCTGTTTTAAGTTCCATTATCCTCTTACTCTATTCGAGTAATATAAATGGTTCGAGTCATAAAATATGACTCAAGTGTCAATATTTTATTTGGATTTTAAAAAGCATATGTTTTTATGTTTTTAAAAACTATTCTATGGAAAAACGAATTCGAGTGAGCTGATATGTGAGACAGTTTTTATGCGCGCCTTTGAATTTTTTATAATTTTGTTATTTCATAGTGCTATCGAGATATTCTATACCTAACTTAATCAAACAAACCTTTCGTTTTTCATTCCAAATATATTATTTTTAGGTTCTGAATGAAGCGAAGAATCTTATAATTTTACAAAGATGTTATTTTTTTTTTTTTTTGTTCTATGGACACCTTTTCTACTAAAGATCTTGCACCGATTTTTATGTGTAACACCTTTTCTGAAAGGAAATTGGTGTGGAGAGGCACTCTAAGAAGGTAATTTTTTTATTTTTTCAAGAGTTTTTTCATCAAATGTGAAAAACCGAAAAAAAAAACTAAGGAAAAACAAGAAAATGTATGAAATATATTAGTAAAATATTTCGGCCTTCTTTATTACTGTCGACAACTTTTCTACCAGCAATTTTGCTCCAACTTATAATAATAGTAATTTTTCTAATGGAAATTTCACTAGAGAAGTACTTTAGAGAAAATTAAAGAAAAACAGGAAAATGTGAACAACGACCAGCCATTTTGCTCCGATTTACTTTCTCTAAAAATAAATCTGACTGAAAAGATAGTTTAGTCAGGTCATTTTTCGATTTTCCTAAGAGTTTTCCTAGCATATGTAAAAAACCAGAATAAAATATGGGAAAATCGTAAGAAAAACGATAAAACTAGATCAATATTAAACAAATATTATTAAAGAAAATATATGATGCCTATTTAATTATTTATTATTTTACCATGGTATGACATATATTGTTGACAAAGCAACACTATTAACTGAACTCTGCTCAGAATCGGTAATTTGTAAGCAACGGTTTATCGTTACTTACAGATATACATTAAATTCCCTTCTGCATTCTACCTTTCCAACTTCCCATCTACAACAGTGGCTGCACTCACGTGTGAAGTGTGTCCGTCTATTTTTCTATATTATTTCACCTTGTCACTGCAACCAATTCTTTCATTATGTTCAACTAATCTGAACTTATATCTTCCTCGAGTTATCTATTATAATGCCTCTCAGTTGATCTCTTCCTCCTAGGCTATTTATTTTTCCCTCCATAATGTTAAAAATAAATCCATTAAGCCGTATATTGTGTCTGATAAATTGTGTTTTTCTTGTTTTGAACATTTTAATGGTCTGACTAGGCTCTTGTACTACGTTCAACATTTCTACATTATTTTTTTCTTTTCATCCAGGTTTTCTTCGTAATTTTGCACCGTGATGATCTTCAATGCATCTATTATCTTTACACCTAGTGTAATAAAGTTTAAACATTCGCCAAACAAAACTTAAGTACATATCCGAAAAATTCTAAGAAAACAACACACTACTCCATTAATGAAAATAACGCTTATGATTATAGTTTTGCAACTTTTCTTGGGTTCTATAGTAGAAGACACTTAGATCGAAAACTAAATACTAAATACAATATCCATTTTGTGGTTTATTTACTTTGAATCTGGTAATTGTATACCATTCTCGACGTCTTATCGTCACACTCGAGTTATTGTTCACGGTTGTAACGTCTCGCTTTATACCGGTTGATAAACGGATTGCATCAGTTTACCTATTGGAATGGGAAAAGCGTTTGCTATATTTTATTTACCTAAGATTTCGTCACAAAATTAATGCACTGATTTGGGTAAAAGCCTCCATTATTCATTTGTAACGAAATTCAAGTTAAAATAAATTCATACAAAATACGATGTCAAGAAATTTGCTGCAAATACATTATGTCATAAAAACGGGGTTCGGGAAAAAAGCGAATGTAAAAAAGAAAGTGGTAAAAAAAGCAATATATTTATTATATATATTGTAATATAAAAAGTAATATTATTGGTTAGTACTACATAATATATGTATAGTATCATATAATAGGTTCTTACACTGTATTTCAATACCATTGACTATAATATATATTCAATAATAATATTTTTAATGTTTTCACAAAAATAATTATCGGAGTAAGTTATCGAAATCTGCAATTCATAATAGAAATTAACAAAAATGACTACTATTGTACTTACAGTACAAAATATATAAAAATCAACTTAAAATAAACATATCGCTACAGCATAATAAAGTGGAAAAAATAAATTATCTAAATATTTTTATTACATAATAAGAACAGTTGTATAAGAGAAATTTGGATTTATACGAATATGGTTTATAATTTATAATTATTTATTGTTAAAAAACAATAGGCACATTATATTATTATTGGTATATTATAAAATTAATAATATGAAATAATAGTACTTTCCATCATGTATAGATACAATAATAACATATATTTGTATTAAATTCAAAAAAAAATCTAAATTTAAAAACAAATAAAGGATGTACACACATGGATATTATACATGAAGTGTAAAAAAATTAAAAAAATGTATTTATTTAAAGCTTATAAAATATCCTACAGCATTTAAGAAATTTACATTAGATTTCGATTATGGACTGCAGATTTCGATAACTTGCTCCGATAATTATGTTTGTGAAAACGTTTAAAATATTTCCATTGAATATGTTATAATAATATAGGCAATAGTATTAAAATATTGTGTACCGTATAGATGGTGTATGGTACTGTATAATATGTAGTACCAACCAATAATAATACTTTTTATTTTATAAAGTGCAATATAAATACATTACTTTTTTTACCACTAGTTTTTTTTCCTTAACTCCATAAAAACAACAAAATGTAAATATAAGTTCAAAATATCATTGAATTAAAAAGTAAAAATAAATCGATTTCCATGTACAAATACTATTAAATTAAATATCTAATATCGATATAATTCTTACTGTACAATCATTTCTTTTCTCTTGTTGACAAGGTTACTCAGGGTTGAATTCAATAAATAGAACCCCCTTTTACGAGCGTATAATTATTTTCAAAAATGTTCTTTACGCAGAACTCAACAACTAGAAATGCTCTTGTTCAAATATAACTACCAATTATTAAATAATTCATTAATGAAATGATTTTTCTATCGTAAAATGATTGCGATTATATTTTCTATTTTCGATATGACATTCGAGTATTACATAGTGGACGAATATGCCTCGTGGCCGTTGTCGGCATACCGACATATTTATTTGCGGTATTTATTTTCCTTTGTTTACCCTTCGCTTGATATACTTCGCGTTCGTTTAATTTACGGACAAATAGCGAATATTTACTATTTTGTTTATTACATTAATTTTTTTTCTTTCTATTTTTTCTTTTAAATTACGTTTAATCGATTTTTCTTTTCTGTCTATCTCTCTGTTTCTCTCTCTCTCTCCCTTTCTCATTTTCCTGTACCTCTCGGTATGATCAAGTCATCAGAATTATCGAAGAATCCGAACGTACGTGGTTTTTTCAATGCTGTCGTCGAGCAAGTATTTTTTTACTCTATTGCCGTACACTATACGAAGTATAACGTTTAAAAAATACGTAAATGAATGAGTTTCAAAAAAAAAAACCGTATTCGACTATCAGATATTGCGTTAGTTATTTCAAAACGCGTACTGATATAAAAAATAAGTTCACTGGAGAAAACTTATAACAGTATCAGATTTTTCTTTTTCAAAATATATAGTTAAATGGATTTATATTATCTCGTATCAACAACAAAACGCACTCGGCTTTTATACGGGTTACGAAAATGGTTTTT